AGCTCCGGCTCCAATGTTGTAAGTTCTATACAGCATATAGACATATATAATGAACACAGTGAGGCAAGCATTGTTCAAACTACTCTTAATAGGGTTAGAACAAAAAGGTCCACCGTATTTCTCAAAGTTTCTAATGTTTTAAAAACGACTGTGCCAGGACCTCCCTGGTGGTGCAAGGGGTTAAGTCTCAGCACTATGAAGCTATCCGCAGCCACTGCAGCACGAGTTTGATCCTTGGCCAGGGAGCTACCCACATGGCGCAGCAGACCTCTCCTGCCTCACCTGCTGCTCCCCTCAGCAGTGTGTTTCAGTAGATCTACCTGCTCTGCTCCCCACTCTGTCTCTGGTGAATCCTCTCACCCCCTGCACCTCTGGCCGTACCCCAGCTCTTGTATGCATAAATAAATGTACCAAATAGAGGGGGAGGGGAGGAGGGATTACGGTCAAAATAAGGGGGGGGTGGGAATTGTATGGGGAATATAACCACGATGAAAAGGCATACATTGTGCAAAAATGAAAAATGATGTAAAAATATATAAAATAAAAAAATTTAAAAATGTACCAAATAAACATCTTACCATTTTTTCCATGTCCTTACACATTTGCAGCTGAGGCCATGGAACAACTGTAATGTTTTCTCATCGACTACTATGATCACACTGCAGCTTTAACTTGCATGGTCTTCCTTCCCGACCGCACGGCCCTGCCAAGTGAAGATGGCCTGTGAAGCGGACCCACTCTGAGACCCCCCCTTTCCTGAGGAATGACAAGGGACTGTTCAATCTAGAATGGGCACTCCATGTTTAGCAGGGACACGGCGATCATATTCACCACTGTACCCCACTGCCAACACTTACACTTAGCACAGTATTTGCCCTGATTAGAAAGTTGTTAATAGCTATTTGGATGAATGGTTGGACTAAGTCTGTCTCTTTCAGTGGCTGGTGGAAAGGAGTCACCGGTCATTTCATGAAAGCAAAGTGTACTGATCACAGTGAAAACAGGAGAAATAGTACCTGGTTGGAGGTTACCAAGAAGGTTCAGCTTCTGAATCCCACATACGCCTACCACCACAGCTAATTCTGCCTAGAGTTGTGAATGATGATGCCACACATGGCAGAGAATTTTGGTCCAGACTGTAGAAAGGAAGATGAGAGTTAGTAAGATCTTAGAATGAGAATGAAAAATAAAAAAACAAAACAAAACAAAAATAATTCAATGCTTTGAAATGAATGCAACAGAAAATGGAGGTGCAACTATAAACATGGAGGGTAGAGGAGAGAAAGTTCAGCTGGAGACAATTTCAAGGTGAATGGTGAAATAAATTATGGGATAATTGGTGGTCTACTTCTTTCAGTGCTGTAGGATTTAATTCATTCCATTATTTTGTGCAGCAGAAACATTTCATAAAGACATGGACTGTTCTTCCATGGATTTCCATGTACAGGCTTTGAAATTAAAAAGTGAGAAGGGCAGGCCAGGGAATAGGTGTAATAACTCAGAAGCACCCAATTGAGTGATGTTCAAGCTGTTACAAATATCTCCGTTCAAAAAGCGAAGATTCTGATGCTTTGATCTTTCAAAGCTAGGGAGCTATTTCTGCAACCTGACTTTAAAGGAAGATTTGGATACCACATGGAGGAAGTTTTACCATAGTTTTTGGACTGACAGAGGGAAAACTAGATGAAATCCATAAAGCCAATCTTGAGAGCTGGTCTCACAGACACACGCACATCACCTTTCCACCCCAAGGCCTCACCCCAGACCACTCTCAAAGTAGAGAAAAGATCAGGTTAGAGAGAAACCATGCAATATCCATGTATTTTGATACCTGTAAAGGCTTCTCAGTGTCTGGAAGATATCAGGAATCACCTGGACATAGCTGCCTTGCTTTTTTTGTTCCATTTCAAAAATATTTAACACAATTATGAAGGGTCATAAGCACAGAGAGCAAACTCTTCCCACTGCCAAATCAAGAGTAACCCAGGCAGAATAAATTAGAGCAACATAGTGAATAGCTCAGCAGTGACATTCAGAGAATAACTGGTATTTAGAAAATCATGAAAGAACATAAACGAAGATTGTCGTTCCTAAGCAAATCATAACAAAAGGTGAAACTGAGAGGCAAAAGAAATTGATCCCTTGTAGTGCTGCTGTACTTGGTCATTTCAATATTGTCTGTTCTGAGCAATAGTTTCTTTTGTGAGTAGACTGATTCCAGCTGGGGCTAGGGTCTTGCGTTCGCTTTAACATCTGAGGCAACTGCCTAAGTTATTGGATCTGAGCACTCTCTTTCCATGTACATCACATTCCTTCTGGCCAATCCACTTACATAAAATATGGTGGAGCTCAGACTCAGGGAGAAGGGCAACTGTGCCAGGCCAAATCTCTGAGTCACTGTCATAAACACAAGAACAATGGTATCATAGGCAAAGCTGAAGGAACACATCTTAAGTTGTTGACAAGGACTGTCTTTGGGGGTTCGGTTTACAGTAACATTCATTTTTCATTGTACTTGTAACATTTACTCGATAATATTAGGAATTAGTAATTTTGAAAGTGTGAAAATATCCTTGTGACTGTGTTTAAAAGTTCTGGTCTTATAGGAAGTTCCTACTGAAATATGAATGAGTTAAATGCTATGTTGTTCTACATAGCTGTGGAAGGAAGTGTGTGGAAATAGAGATTAAGATCGGATGTGAACTTGTGTGATGAGTACCTCTTGGTTCATTATATGGTTGTTTATACTTCTATGTTTGAAAGTTCTAGTAATCGAAGATTCGACAAAAGTGATAGGCGGCACCCTTGGAAAAGTAGAGTGGGGACTAATGTAAAGGACCACGAGTACAAGGAAGTTTTTTCTGTAGTTCACTGGTCCCCAAACCTTAGTGAATGCGACCCTACCTGAGAAAAAATTTTTGCATACATGCACCAGGCATATATTTATTCACTTTATTTATTTATTTATTTATTTATTTAAAATGATGTACATATACCACTGTATTTTATGCCATTATAAAACATACACAAACATAAAAAAAAGCCTAGATAAAAATAAACACAAGTATCATTCTAATATGTTCATCCTACATTCTAGCGGACCCCACTTAGGAGTCCAACATTTAGTGGCAGGGGCCCTTGAGGTTTTCTTAGTAAAGAGTTTGTTTATAAGAAGCAGAAACTTATGGGAATACCCCATATGCCATGGGAGACTGATTAGAAAGACCCAGAGCTATTTCATCGAGGCCTTTCAAAGAACTGGAATGAGGTTGGGAATGAGACTGGTAATGTGGCTTAGACAAGGATCATCACTGCCTTGTACACTTTTGTACACATGCAATACACATATGTATTCTGCACATTAAGTCAGGATACAATATGCATATAAACAAACATCTCCCACATATTATCTTGGGCAATAAATTTAATGCAATGATTATGACAATAATATCTAACATTGAGTACTTACTCTCTGCCAGGTATTGTGGTAAGAACTTTACATACATCATTTTACTTAAAAATCAAGACAACCCTTTGGTAATAGATCTTATTATTGATGTTCATTTTACTAGGAGGAAATTGACTCAGAAAAAATATGTATTAGCTTTTCCAAGAGGAACGGGCTAGAAAATGGCAGAGTCCAAATTGAAATCAAGAATTTTCTGACCCCAAGCCCCATATCCTTAACTACCAAACTATAATGCCTCCACAGGGAATGAATAATAGTGTCCAAACTATAAATTGCCGTGATGATTAAATGAGATAATATATGTGTGATATTTAGCACATTATCTGACATACAGCACACATCCTATTGTTAGCATTTTAATACACAGAATATTTACCAAAATTTTCCACAGTACACATCATTAGTATTTCTCAATATCAAACACCAGTATTTATCATTATAATTGTAATAAAATAATATTTTAATATTTAAACATTATTTATAGTAATACACATCTAAGCTCCTTTTGTTTGCTACCATCTATAAATATATGTGATGTCTGTTATTGAATCTCTGTGGAACGACTGATGAGAGATAGCAACTGTGGACTGTTATGCTTTCTGCCCCAGGAGGCTACAAAAATGGACATATTTGTACCTGGCATACTTGTCATGTTTTAAGGAGTCATCTACATAAATAGGAGTGTGTGTAGCTTGAGCACTGAGTAGCTCAGGAAGTACATATGTACATAGCAATTTTATTTTACAGTTGCAGAGCTGGCATCCTTTAACTGTGATCCAAAGGTACATTTTCAGAAAGATGACAGTTCTGAAAACTTCTTTGCATTCCATCAGTGGTCAAATTTATTACTTCTGGTTATTTTTCAGCGTTTATATTTCTATTGGCCAATCCAGATTAGAACATTTAACAAATACTTTATTATTTTAACTCAATCACACCTCCTATAATAGTCAATTCTTCCTGATTTTCTGGAACACCCCAGATTTGAAGTTTTGTCTCAGTGTTAGGCTGTAATTGCGAACTTGGTTGGAAGCATTGGCTCCGTAATACAGAGCTATGAGCCGAAATGTGACTCACAGGCTGGCGTGTGGTCTGCTTTTACATGACTAGAGCTGCACTTACTTTTGATTATCATGAAATGTTCCAGATTTGTAGATACTTTACTAAATGTTCTGTCACTCTTAAGGGAATTCTAAGGGTTGATTGTGGGGGGAGGGGGGGATGATGTCTTTGGTTTATAAATTTTGACTTTAAGTCAAAGCATATTTCTCTTTTTATCAAACGATTTAATTTTGGTGTTATTACTTCCTTTCATTGTATGTAACTAGATAACCTATAAATAAGTATTACCCAGGAACCTGCCCATCATTCCCTGTGATCTATTTGGGAAGTTTTTAGATTCTAGAAATATCATGAAGAGCATTTGTGTTGACACAATAGAATCCATCCCACCCCGTTCCTAACCCAAATGGCATAAGCCAAAATTAAATATGTAGGATTCTTGGAATAAAGCATCAGATAACCAAACACTATGAGCAAAAATTAATTTATTATATATATTCTCTAATAATTCATAATAGCATCTTGATTTTTAAATGTCTTTTTGCTATTTCCAATGCTTAAAAATCATAATTTTAAAACATAAGTACTGTTTTATATACATTGTGATTTCTTTTTTTTTTCTTTTTTACTTCTAAATATGAATAATTTAGTCTCCAAGTATCTGCTTGGAGGGAGAGGGGATAGGATTCATTGTTTTGCTCTACCACAGTAGAATATCAAATTTCACATCATATATCTGGAGTTTTGACTATATGAAAAATAGCCAAATGCCATCACTTTCTTGTCTATTTCTTTTACATGTATATATGCATAATATAAACAGAATACATCTAATTAGTACATTTCAACATTTCAATGTGACTTTTATCTCCTATCTTATATAAAATAACAAAATATACAGAGAGAAGAAAGGAGACATCTGTTCATCGTACACATAAAGTAAATAAAAGTTCATGTATGGCTTTGCAAAGGTAGATTATGACGTGACTTTCGTACTTTATTTATTTAAAAGCATTTTGAGAGAACGTGTTAGTGTGCTTACGAGAGCGGCCATGGTGGTTGAATGTCGCATCGAGAGTCCAACATTGGGATCCCCAGTGGTTTTTCCAGTGGCTGCCTCGGCAGCTTTCAGGAGACAAATGTAGTTTATGACCACTTCATCGATCTTCACTACGATTTCCTGCCGCTGTGTTTCTGAGTTCACGACTTTAACTAATCGCATGCAAGCTTCTGTTAGACAACAGAGCACTTGAAAGCTGAAAGTCATAGCTAGGAGCATCTCCTCTGGGCTTTTCTCAGCCATTGCCATCTTCCTACAGGCACTTCCCAACTGTCTGGACTCGATGGATAATAGTTGCTTGTACTGAGAAAGTGTAAGGTCATATGCTTCAGCGCACGACTCTTCTCTCTTCCCCTTGGTTGCCCTGACAAGGCAGAGCAGCTCATTGGCATCATTTTGGGCTGTGAGGAACCCATCAGGCATTACATATGTGCTCTCCTTCAGGGCATTTATTCGTGCGATCCGAGCATCAAAAGGCAGGTTGCTGAAGTCCATGTCATCCGGGCCGCTCAGGTCTTCCACCCAGGCCTTCAGCACTGAACCTTTGGACAGCTCCCCTCCTTGCTTCTGAATCCCGATAGCCAGGGGTGGACTGGTTGGTTCTGGCATGGCTTGAGTCATCGGTGGTCTATAGAGGCACGAGACCTGGCGGGTGGCCTCTCCCCCCTCTTCATCCTCATCGCCATCTTCATCTTGCCCTCGGTTCAGAAAGCAGTAGCTGAAAGGTCCCCGGCATCTCCAATTGCTGCCCTCCAACTTCCGCAAGGGTAGTGTCCTGTACAGCTTCGAGTCTTTTTGAGCTACTGGGGACCTTTTCTGAACCTTTCCCTCAGAGCTAAAGTGCATGGAGCTTTGGGAAAAACTTTTGGTGAGTTTCTTCCCCAGGGGGAGTTCTGCTCGTCTTTCCGAACTGACCTCCTGTGCTTCTGTGACACCTGGACACTTTAAGGTGATCGCACCCTTGGTTCTCTCTTGGAAGGTCTCCAAACCTGTAGATCCAGAGAGGATACTGCTACTACATCTCAGAGACCTCTGGCTGGGGGGTGTCCTGAGACTCCCTCTTCTCAAATCCAGTGGCCACCAACTCATAGTCTCTCCGTATGCCTTGTTTGCTTGGGAGAAATCATTAGGGTCTTGATTTGGAATTGGCACCTTTGATTCCAAGTTAATGTTTGATGGTAGCAGGATGGGATCAGCTTCAGGATGTTGAGACCAAGCTGAAGGCATGCCTCCTTGTCTCTCCTTCCCAGGCTCTGTCAAAGCTACACTAGGGGTAGCAGAAAAACAGAGAGAATCATTAAGCATCGCACGGGTGTTCACTTGCCAAGTGAGCATTCTAGAAGGGCTCCCATTTCTCAGGGTCATCCTGCTTTCCAAACACTGCCTCTTAAGATCACAGGAGAAATTTCCACTTCAATACATTTCAAGAAATACGGGGATCTGTTATTTCTTAAACTACTGATTCATTTGGAATTGTCTTGAACCCCCAGACATTTTTTAGGGAAACAGCATAATTTTACAAAATTGCCTTGCACATAGTATGTAGCTTAGATACAGTTAGAAAATACACATCCTATGTATACATTTTTCAAACACATTGATGACATCTAAGTTTCATTTCTAGAGGGTTAGGTTAATGCCAGCACAATTTACTATTTTTAAAAAAAGCCTAATGCAGTTAACACAATCAAATAAGCTAGCCTTTTTAAGAGGACCCCATGAGGGTTATCTGGTCCAGGGTTTGTTTTGAGGTTGATAAACTGGGAAGATTGCTCAACTTTTCTTGGAAAAGTTGTCATGTGAAGAAGATAATCTACCCATCTCAGAGAATTTTTGTTGAAAGCAAGTTAGGTGAAAGGTCTTTGTCAATCAGAAAGGATTAAACAGGGTGATTGAATTAGTTTAGAGGTAACAATACTAGTTGGGTGATGAATTGAGAACAATTCATAGAAGAGTTTCCTACAGCTGATAAAGCCAGAGGTGGGTTTCAAGAAAGAAGATAATCTTAAAGAGCAGAATAGAAACTGACCAATATAAGATCTAACTAATATCTACTGACCTATCCAGAAATGTTAATGATACAACTAGAAATAGGAAGGTGTGAAGGAGCATCTTCTTCTGGCAAATGACGGCAGCCAGGTAGACTGGTGAGAGGGACATGTACCCACTGGGTGGAGCAGTGGTGAAGGCAGGTAGTAAAGGTGGCTTTGTTCTTATTTTGACCTGTGTCTGTATATTACTATTTGGAGGAAAACAGAGCAGTTTAGCATGCACACTCAAAATTTTCCTGACACTGAGGTATGTTTGACACTTTAGAATATTCCTCTAGAGAGTCTTACAGAGTAGGGAGGCGTCTGTAAGTACCGCTGAAAGGCAAATGATCTTCCCCAAGCCCTCCCAATCTCCCCAATCCCCTGCTCAATTAGCCTTCCTTGCCTCTCAATGACAAAATGGCAGAATGAGAAGTTTGATTTGTTGAGAAGGAAATCAAAATGCAATACTATTTTGTAACTAAAAGCCATGCAGGGCACTGCTAAAAGCCTACATCTAGAATTTATATATATATATATAAATATATAAATATATAATACATAAAATATGTAAATATATATATATATATATTTAAAGAACAGGTTTATCAGAAAGGGACAGAGAAGTAAAAGACACTTGCATAGACACAAGCGGGAAGGGAGAGCTGCCCCTCTAGAATTTAGAAAAAAAAGTTGGTCCATCGAATTCTCAAAGCAAGTACAGAACAAGAACCTAAAGAGCAAATGCCATTTCTAGTATTGCTCCAGATCTAGAAACTTCAGTCCTTCATTAAACAACGGGGGATCAAATAATTGATACTTAACGTGGCCACATTTCTGTAGCCTTTTGAAAAATACTTTTCCTTTTCTTCCAGATTTTTAGACCTGCTGTAAATCTGGCTGACACGCTCCTGGCATGCAAGGAAAGGCATCGAATTGATCATTGCTGTACCTGTGGTTTCCTTAATCTTGGGGAGTCGATGACATCCGTCTCTCAAAGTGCCAAACAGGGGTTCAGTATTAATGGCTGTGTGCAGAGCAGGCACTGTCATCCTCGGACACATCCCTTCGGTCTGGGGGTGTAATTCCTTGAAGGGGGCTCCGGGGGCTCGCTCCTCGGAAGGAATATAACTCACGCCTTTCCCAGAAGTCTCAGGAATCAGGTGCTTCCCCATGGAGGGGCAGAGCGGGGACTCCACAGGTGTGGGGCAGGTGCTGCTGCTGCTGCCTGTGCCACAGCCGGCGTCCACAGAGGAGCCTTGAGAGCTCTGCAGAGAGAAGTGGCCCTCGCTCTGTAACGACGACATGCGCTTGGCCAGGTGGTAGTCACAGAGGCGGGCCATGCTCTCCTCCGCCTCGGGGAGCTTGGACGGATGGTCACAGGCCGACGGGCCGGCGTCCTCGGTGTTCTCTATATCTTTGGCTGAAGGGACGCCGGTCACGTCGGTTAAGAAGTGGTCTCGTTGGCCGAGTCCTGAAACCTCGCTGGCTTCGCCGTCCGGGGCCCCTTCCTCCTTCCCTTCAGCCTCTCTTGTCCCAAGACCAGACACTCTGGGAAAGGTCATCCCCGTGGCTGCTTCCAGTCCACTCTTCTCAGCCACCCCCCCCTCGGTGGCCACATACCATCTTTGGCTGTCCTTGCGAAAGGCAGTTCTCTCCAGGTTAAAAGTGCCGAGGTGTTGACTGTCCCTGGAGGCCGCGGAACCACACTTCCCTTTGGCATCCTCCGCGGCCTCGGCCGTTTTGCTCCCCTGCTGGCTTTTCCCGGGTAAGTTCCCACTAGGGGGCGCTTTCCCTTCCCCATCAGCCAACTTGCTTTTCCTCTTGCTGGTGCAGGAATAGGCCACCGAGCCCATGTGCAATTTGCTAAAGTAGTCAGTGACCGACTTGGTCTCCATCGTCTCAGGCTCCATTTCCATGTGTTCCGAGTGAAGCATCTGCTTGGAAGGCACGACTTTGGGCGGGAGGTCCGTCAGCGGGCGGGCAGCCAGGGCGTGGGAGGACTTTGGAGGCAAGCCCCCCGCGGGGGGCTGGGAGGTGGGGAACTCGGTCAGCTCTTCTGCCAGGGGGTGGTAGCCTTCGTGAGAGGCCAAGAACATGCGGGAGAGGTTTTCTGACTGCTTCTGTGCTGTGGCCAGCTCTGAACTCTCAGTCATTTCAGAAGAGTTAGTTTCATTGCCTGAGTCTGATGAAGACTCGGGACTATAAGCCCGCAAGATGGCTACACCTGCATGCCGTGAAAAACAAGAAGCGATTAATGGATGCATCAGAGGCACTGGGAGACATGTACGAAAATGGGACTCATGATTATTAAAAAAAAAAAAAAAAGACCACGGTTTTCCCTTTTCGGTAAGGACTCTGAGTTTATTCCACAGTTGTTCCAGAAATGGGGGAAAAAAACGTGCCACGTGTTTAAACAAAACCAAACCAAACCAAACAAAAGCCACAACAAAGGAAGCCACATACACAAAGACCCCATGGTGGTGGTTCAGCACGTCTAGCAAACGGGCACGCGAGCAACGGCGCGCCCAGGACAGGACTCCGGGGCAATGGCGCGAGAGGATGGAATGGTGTGGTGGTCAGTGAATAAACGTAACAATGGTGAAAGAACCTGAACTGTCACTGGTCTGCTGCTCTTCGGACACGGACAGGGCTTCTAGAGCATCCAGCGTGGCGGTGCCAGCGGCGTCCAGGCCCGTCTCACACTTGCCCTCGGCGCTGGTGGGCACGGCGTCAATGAGGGACACCGGGATGTCGTCGTGCGGGCTGCTGCCTGGCTCCTTGTCCTCGCGGCAGGCGGCTGCCTGGCTCTGAGAGTCCTCCTCGTCTGAGCTGTCTCTGAAGCCAGGTGGGGGGGCAGCAATGGCCATGTTCAAGGAGCGCAACAGGAAGTCATCCTCATGGTCATCCCCTTCTGGAGGGGGCAGGGATGTGAGGTCAATGATGTCATCGCTGGACCCAGACAGGTTGAGGATGGCGGGTGGGTTCATCTCCCCCACCACGAGGTCCTCCTCACAGCTCACCTCGTCCTCATCCTCGGCGTCATCAGTGTTTTCTGCATAACAAATGTCACGCAGCAGGGGTTCCTCCAGGCCCCCGGCCGCCTCAAAGTTCTTGACGTCGCCTATGTTGGCGTAGACAGAATTGGCCACAAACTGGATGCCCTCCGCGTCGGGCGCGAGCTCCAGCCCCTTCATGTCATTGGCACTGCCGATGTAGAGGCTCCTCTGCTTCTCCAGCAGCTCCGGACTCTCCTCCAACAGTCTCTCATAGCCCAGAGTCGGGGTGTGCATGCCATCGTCCAAGGCGAGATCTCCAAAAATGAAGGACACTTTAGCTCCTCTCGGAGACTCCTGTGCTTTCTTCAGCGTTTCTGGTCCTGAGAGGGTCAGCAGGGAGTGCTGAGCTAGGCCTCTGTAGTCGGCCTCGCACTGAGCGTCTCCCGGCGGGGCCCCGGGCTGGCTGAGGCTGTCGGCATTGTAGGTGTTGTCTAAGTACAGGCGCCGGTGGTCTTGGGGGCACAAGGTGCCATCTGTCATCTCCAGTGTCTTCTGTTTTGAATCTATGTATGTGATCTGGGCTTCCTGCTCCCCTTCGCCGATAAAGGTGGTCATTTGGGGTATGCAGTTCCAATCTGAGCCAAGGAGGTTATGCTTGCCTTTATTTTCAGCTCCTAGAGAGAAAGAACCACGCAAAGACACATTACTGTGGAGTTTGGGGGGGAGGGTAAGGGGAGAGGCTTGCCTCCGTTTCTTCATTTAAAGGCCTGTGGCATGTCTTATGCAAATGCCGTTATTCAGCCTTCCAAATGTGGTGCCAGGACTTCTGGCTTAGGAGACTTGACCTTAGCAAAATTGATCCTGCATAAAATATAATTGCTAGATGATAAAATAAAACACCATCTAAGAGCAGGGAACTATAGCCTAATTCCATCTGGCCCTTGGTTCTATTGCTAAAAGACATTATTTATGTCTATGAATGTGAACATACAATCCGCCTTTTTAAATCCTAAAAGGTGCTAGTCCCACAGGCTGTTAGTCTGGAAAACAGACCGCCCTTTTCTTTGTAAAGCAAGATCTAACAGTCCCTACTACTCTGCAGAGGAAGATGTTGAATTTTTTTTTCCTCATTAAGAGAAGGTCAAATAGCCTCGTATTTCTATCATGTATTTAGGAACTATTGCAATGATAATACAATGAGAAAATACAGATTATATACACATTTAAAATATAATAACAATGATGATAATAAAGCACAGGAACCTCTATCTTCATCTGATTCATGTCCTGACGGGTGTAAGTCTGTTCTGTCTAAATGTCAGTGTACACACACACGTGCTTACAGTGCGGGGTGGCGGTGGGGGGGGGGTGTTCACAGCAATGAACTTCTCTCAGCGATCTCTAAGCTTAGTTAATACTTTGACTAATTTCAGTTTTTATTTGTATCATGAGAACTCCTGATGAATTCCTGGTGAATTAAAATCACAAAATCCTAACTTCAAAATTGTGCTTTTATTTGCTGTTCAAGGGCCGTTCAGTAGGGAACCCTGCCAGAGAGGCTTTTCTCTGCTGGGCAACAAGAGAGGGCACCAGGTCATCCTATGAATACTGCTTTAGAGACTACAGAGGCAACAATTTGAGGACATTTTAGGGCCAAATGTTCTCCCATCTGTTCTCTCAAGTGGCCCCCAGCCCACCTTTGGGTAATACTCATATCACACGTGCCAGATACAGGGGAGGAAAAATCAGTTTTACTGAAGAGGTTTTGTTCATCCCATAAGTGACACAATGGACTCGATGCTGAAAGATGTTGAATCAGTTTATGAAATACATATATTCTCATGAGCAGCAAGTAAAAGATATAATTTTGAGGCCATTGAGTCATACACCAGATGTACTTACAAGCTGCCTTATAACAAACACACCACGCGAGAGTGCAGTGCTCTCTGACTGACACCCAGGATCTGACCCCGTGCGTGCTCTTGGGAGGAGGGCGAGTGGTTCCGCAGAGTCGTGAGAGCTCTGGGTTTAAACCAGGCCCAGCAAACTTCTTCTAGAAAGGGAGGGCAGATCAGAAATAGTTTAGGCTTTGAGGGCCAACTGCTTGCATCTGCTGTTGTGACATAAATGGAGCCAGAGGATAGACAAAGAAATGGATGTAGTTGGTGGAAAGCCCCCTCCACCGGCCAGGATGCAAAAAGTGATCTTATTTTGAAAAGGAGTCTTCATCACTGCGGTGAAAGGTCTCGTCGAGAGGAGAGCACCTTGAACTACTCTGAGGGTGCTAAATAGAATAGCAAGTGAGCATACAAAGAAAGGCCGAGGGGGATTGGACCATGCAGAGAGAAGGGGTGCAGGCAGAGACTGGGGTTACATGGCACAGGGAATTCCAAGAGACACTAGAAGCAGAAGAAACAAGAAAAGATTCACCTCAAGAGCCTCTGCAGGGAGTACGGCCCTGCCAATACCTAGATTTTGGGCCTCTAGTACCTCAAACTGTGAGAGGATAAATTTCTCATAAGTACCCAAGTATGTGATAATTCCTTATGGCAGCCTAGGAACTGAACACAATGTGTGTGGGCAAGTTCCAAGAACACTTTCCAAGAATAAGATTTGGCCCAAGGGCCATAGTTTAAACCAATGAGAAAATGGAATAGAGCAGTAGGCTAAAAACAGGTTAATAGCTACTTAGTCAGACCCTGCTAAGGCCCAGAGATATGTGGGTGCAGGGATTTTGAAAGCAAGTGTAGGTTAATTTTCAAGGTAGAGAAAAAGAAATGAGGTAAAAGCCTTAGTCAAGATCTCAAGCAAGAAAGAGCCCAGGAGTCCAGTGCCCTGGCTTCCACATCTTCATTGTGACAAGAAGAAAACATACACTTGATCTTGGTTTCCTTCCAGAAGGGGATACCAATTTGGCTTCTGGAATGATCTTGAGACACAGAAGGATGTGGATTGGGAACTGGGATGTCTACTGTGGTCCAGTCTGCCACACGGTGGGAGGATAAAACCGAATGGGGAGGAACAGGCCTCAACACACTTTACATTTCCTCAGTCTCAGAAGAGCATTTTTTTTAAAAGATTTATTTATTTATTTATACATGCACTGGGTACAGTCAGAAGCGCGGGAGGGTGAGAGAATTCACCAGAGCCAGAGCGGGGAGCAGAGCAGGCAGAAGGACCGAAGTACACTGCTGAGGGGAGCAGCGGGCGGCAGGAGAGGTCTGCGCCATGTGGGACCCTCCTCTGGTGGCCGGGGAGCAGCTGGGGATCGAACCGGCGCCGCAGAGGCTGTGGGCAGCTACGCAACCCAGCACTCAACCGCTGCGCCACAGGGGAGGCCCAGAAGAGCATTTTTTTTTTTTTAAACTAAGGAGATCTGTGTTTTTTTTTTTTAAGATTTATTTATGCATACAAGAGCTGGGGTACAGGCCAGAGGTGCAGGCAGTGAGAGGATTCACCAGAGACAGAGCAGGGAACAGAACAGGCAGACTGACTGAAATACACTGCTGAGGGGAGCAGCAGGCAAGACAGGAGAGGTCTGCTGCACCATGTGGGTAGCTCCTTGGCCGGGGATCAAACTTGTGCTGCAGTGGCTGCACTTAGCTTCATAGTTTGTGTCTTAACCCCTTGTGCCACCAGGGAGGCCCAGTCTCAGGAGATCTTGTAGGAGTTCTGAAGAGAAGAGAGGACTTGCAGCCATTCTTGGCTGCTGCTTAGCTTGCGTCAACCAGTTGTTCTCTCTCTCTCTCAGAGGCGAGAGATATTTGGAACATGTGCCCTCACCCTCAATCTTACTGTAGAATGGGAGAAATTACTGAATGATTGAAGGTCCATTCTTTCCCCACACTAACAGTACTGATAGTACTTTGTGGAAGTAAGAGTCCGCCTAAACTTTTATTCAGCATTACATTGTGAGTCACCACAAATTGCACAGAACTGAGACCCTTATGACTGGTGCCATTTTTAGAATAGTAGGTTTATTTTCTTCACCTGTACAATCTTAACAGTCCATCAGGAAAAGGTTTTATTTTCAAGATAAACTCTAAGGTTGGAAGAACAAAAAGCAGAAAACGGATTCCTGATGGCAAAGGGTTGTGTTAAATTGCCAAGCTGCTCTTTGGAATTTCAAAGGTCAGCATTAAATTGGTCAAAATCTCCTAGTGCAATGAAAACATGTGGTCATAAAAATGTTCAGCACCAAACCCAGCTCACACTCACCACCTCTTGTTCCTTCACAATTTCTTTTCAATCATTTGCGTCTCTCAGCATCTCTCTGTGTTTCTATCACTTTCATTCTGTTTCTGTCACTTTCATTCTCAAATTTTCCAGAACAGTTTTGCATCACTGTCAGTTATTAATGGAAGTACTGGCCACGATCGTAGGTGTTGCACATAGATTTTTCTCTAATCATTATCCTGCAAGCTAGCTTTTAAATCTTAGTGTTAGAAATGAAAAGACCCGAAGTTAGAGAAATTGAAGACAAAAAGCAGACATCTCAAGGGAGGGTGGGTTAAATCTTAGCTGCAGGTCACAGTTGTGCCACACTTCTGGCATGCCTGCCCTTCTCACTTTCTCTCACTGGTTCACCTCTGTCCTGTATACCTGCTGCCACAGAAGCAGCCATCACAGACTCTGAGTCTGTCTGGGTGTGACTATCCACACACCCCAATGTATTTGTGGAAGAATAGGTTATGTTTTCTGCAAAGGTAAAAAAATCAGAGGACATGCCTTTCCTTTCCCCCTTTTGTTTCAGAAACAGTGACAAGGGGCTTTGTTCCTTTTCTTTGAAAAGAAGTGTGGACTATGGAACCCCTTATACTTTTACTTTGCTTATAATTTGCTCATCAGTTAGTAGCTCTGATTTGTCTGGTAATGCCGGTCCATCGGCCACAGTGACTGAGGGTCCGCTGTACCTGGAGGAAGTGTTCAAACACTGGAGAAAACGATTCTGAAACAAATGAAAACCACCCACCTTCACAGAAACTATTTAACATTTGTAGTCCTCCCGGTCTCGCTCGGGGGCTATTTTGTCCTGTCAAACGACTGAATTGAGTTATGTGACGTCTTTGCCATCCCAAAGGTTCCACATGCCTAGGCTAGTCCTAAGTCTAAGTGCCAGGAAACACTCAGGCGCTCCTGTGGTCGAGCTCTCAGAGTTCCAGAGGGAATTCTGACTGCAGGAGGAGGTGCCCAGGAGACTAGGCCTCAGGCACCCTAAGGAGAGAGAAGCCCTAAAGCTGAGGGCTGGCGATTCCCATGGGGACATCCCAGCCTTCGTTGTCTGTGTCCTGACCTCTGTAAGAGCGAGGCGGGAGAAACCCAGCCACAGGCTGATGCTCGCTTCCTTAGTGATCACACAATCACTGCCTTAGAAACGAGCACCGCGGCCTCTCCAAGTGCCACGTAAAATGTGATAGAAAACAAAGCAACATTAAAAAAACAACCACAACCTGCACCATATCAGAAATACTTGAAGGCTTCTGTGTTAACCTTGGACATTAGGCTTTTTTTTTTTTTTTTTTTTAATTTTCTAGAGGCATGTCTTATTTATCTATTTGTTTGTTTGTTTGGTTTATACATGCACTGGGTACAGTCAGAAGCCGGGAGGGCGAGAGAATTCACCAGAGCCAGAGCGGGGAGCAGAGCAGGCAGAAGGACCGAAGTACACTGCTGAGGGGAGCAGCGGGCGGCAGGAGAGGTCTGCGCGCCATGTGGGACCCTCCTTCGGTGGCCGGGGAGCAGCCGGGGATCGAACCGGCGCCGCAGAGGCCGCGGGCAGCTTCGCAACCCAGCGCTCAACCGCTGCGCCACCTGGGAGGCCCACATTAGGCTTTTTTTATGGATACAAATTTTACTTTTTCAAGAAACAACCTCATTATGGTTGTTAAGTAGGGTGGGGGGGGTCCATGCCTCATGAGTTTAGGAAGAGGATACCTGTTTCCTGGGTGCCTGGATTTTTCTTGTTGGCCATGTTAAATATCGACCTTCTGGAATCCACAAGCAGCCTGTAGTATCCAGCTGTTAAGCAGGCCAGGTTCATGGCATCTGAGGACTCCATCAGGAGCGTGATGGGCTACACAAAAGAGAATGATTTGGTTAAACCCATTCCTCCTTCATCGCCTCCTGCCGTGACAGGGGTGCCACCTGTGCGGCGGAGATGTGAATGAGAGGAGATTTGGCGCAGTCATTTCACAGGGGAGGCACAGTGGCGGGCGCGGGGCATAACAGCGTCTGGCCGAAGGGCACTGCGGGGACACCCATTTGAAAGTCCGGGCATTTCTCACATTTTCCAAGTCATATTGGAATGAAAAACAAAAACAAAAAAACCCAAAAAACTGCTTTTGTTCCCAAATAGTCGACATTTTAAAAAGTGGTAGTTAAGGAGTCAGTTCCCAGATGTGAACCCATGATCTGAACAAACCTGGAAAGACTGTTTCGTTTGTGGTGAAAGTGAGCGCTGAAGGGAAGTAAAACCAGCCGGGGCCCGCCACCTCTTTCTCATCGGGACAGGTAATTCCTGCCGTCAGGTCTGCGGGGCTCCGAGCCACCCACCCTGTCTCCTGCCCCTTTTCCACAACAGGCTGCTGCTCTCAGCATCTTTGATCAGGACGAGGCCATTCCAAGTCTACTCTTGCACTGTCAGCTTGCGGGGCAGCCACCCGCAGCCGCCCGGGTGGGGCCCATGAAATCCCACGGGCCATGGTCATTGTGTCTGGGCCCCACATTCTCCCTCTCATGAGCATCTCTTCCTGGCAGAGCACACGGGGCTCCGATTTGCTGTGTACAAAGCCTTTCCCATGTCCTCTTTACTCCTAACCTGCTCCTCCCATGTCACCTGAGTGGATGTGCCCCGCCCCAGCCTGTTCTCAGAGCACTTCTGATTGATGCACTTTGCTTCTTGGGGTCCTCATCTCTCGTTGGGTCCACTGCCTTTTCTTCATAGAGACAACAGGTGCGTTAAAATAGCCAAACTCCCTGGGCTCATCTATCACTGGGAGAGGAAAGTAGGGATGAGGGGGCCTGGATTATCTCCTGTCAACTTCTGTTTGGGGAGTAGAGTTTGCGCTTTGAGCATGATCTCTGATTGCTGCTTTAAGTGGTGTGGCATAACCTTCACGGGGGGAGATATCTGGGCAGTGCCATTGGTAGAGCCTGAAATGACAGGCTGATGCAAATACCCAGCTTTTCCAGGAGAAAAAACATATGGACACAACAAAAGGGAAAAGGATTTCTAAAGAGGGTTGAAAAAAATCTCTGTGATTGTTCATTTAAGAGTCATACATTCTAGAAAGTAGGGAAAAGTCACCCTTATCCTCTATTTATGATTCATGCATTTTGGAGCCAGAAAGAAGGGACCTTAGAAGTGAACTAGCTTGCTTTCTCATTAGAGACCTCGCAATGGCGCTGAGAGCAGTACAGGCCCAGCTCAGACATAGGTGGATTGGGTCCAAGGCCACAGCAATAAAGTGAATGTCGTGATACAGTGAGTCACATGTAATTTTTGGTTTCCTGGGGCATATAAAAGTTATGTTTATGCTATACCATAGTCTATTAAGTTTGCAATGGCACCCCCCTTTATTTTTGCTGGTGGAGGATTACAATATTATGGTCAAATATCACCATAACATATAATAATGACAAAGCTGAAAATATTGGGAGAATTACCAAAATGTCACAAGGAGAGATGACATGAGCACAAGCTGTTGGAAAAATGGCACTGGGGTTCTTGCTTGAGGCAGGGTGGCCACAAACGTTCAATTTGTTTAAAAAAAAAAAGGCAATATCTGTGGCGCACAATAAAGCAAAGCGCGCTAAGACGAGGAAGGCCTGTGTAGCCTTTGTCCCCAAGGCGCACAGCTGCTTAGTGAGGGTTAGTGCCGAGGCCTGAGGGGGGCGGTCTTTTCCACACCGTGACGCGCCTCTGGTGCCTGCCTGTAAGTAGGGGCGCTGCTGCCCGACGCGGGCTGTTCAAATCGAAGCCACGTGTCCACGTCCGACAGACCCACCTTCACATCCAGCACGTGCAGCTCCACCCTGACCAAGCTCTCCTCTTCCGTGAACATTTCAATCCTGTTGACGTGGCTGAAGTCGGCGAGGAGAGCCACCAGGTTGGTTTTGGTGTTTATGACGTGGCTGATGCCGTAGCGGGGCCCGACCAGGAGCGTCACCTCCGAGCGCTTTTCGGCCTGCTGAGAACGAGATGTTGACAGAAAAGCATCAGCTCTCTGACACACCATGCCGAGAGGATCCAGAGAGTCCGTTTTTATAACATTACCTTTTCACTAAAAAGGAATTTGGGGTCTTATTGTACTAAATAAACCAATTAGAAGCAGCGGCTAGCTGACTGCATCGAGGCCCTGACAAGTTATGAGAGGGGTAGAAAAGAAATGCTCTCATAGCCCATCCTCATCGTCACGAGAGGCTTTTAGAAAGAGGGACTTTTTCTTTTTCAACATGACCGCAACTTCTGGCCCAAGGATTGAAAAGCGGGCCACTGTCAGGGTGCGCCGATTCTCTTGGCTCTTCACATCTCTTTCTAGGGCATTCAGTGGAGGCGTTATCTAGTTTAACATTTCTTCTGATATTTTCAGCTTGTGGTACAGTCAATTAGAAATGGAGGCTGGAGAGATTCGCAGCGGATCTGCTTTGGCCGTCGGCGGCAGCCCGGCCCAGACAGCCCCGGCGCTGACATTTTGCAGGCCTCTGTGATTTCCCAGAAAAAGCAAGAAAGAGAAATTACCACTAATGTTGCCTTGAACACACGGCCCCCGTACAATCGAAGGTCACTGAGGAACTTGAGATAATGGACCTTGGCTTGCAGTGCAGAGAGCTGAGGAGAGAAAAGAAAGCTCAGGTGTTCACTCCATTGGGCGTGCATGGGCGGCCGCTGGGGCCCAGCTGACAACCAGGGCAGGCTAGGGGAGGCTTTCACGGCGACAGATGGGGCTGTCTCAGGACCCTTCGTGAGGAATCCAAGTAAATTGCTGTGTATGTGGTTTCCTGAAGAAGGGCTGCAACAGGACATCAAGATTAAAATCTTATTTATTTTGGGGGCGGGTGGGGAACTCTTAAGTGTGGTGTGCTGGGTCAGGCACCCTGCAAGCGGGAACAAGATGATAAATGACTGCTGAACATGCGCTCGCTGGGAGATTCCAAGTCGAGAGTGGTGCTTTCCAAGGGCAATTAGGGCCAAAAGCGGGTGGTCCCGCTCCCCTCTTCCCCTCACAGTATGTCTCTGGTTTATAGTTGCTTGCTGACTTTGATTTCTACTTTATTGTATGGGGCTATAACTAAGATGAAAATGCATACATTGTGCAAAAATGAAAAATGATGTAAAAAAATACATAAAGTGTGTGTGTGGGGGGCGGGCACACAGGGCTTGCAAAAAAAAAAAATGTGGGTGCTACCCAAATCCTCCCAGCGCACGGGAGACTCACCTGTGCGCAGTTAGTAGGTGCTGCTTTGAATACACACCTGCAAACTCTATAAAGCCTTTTAAACAAGGTCTATATTCTCAGCTCAAGTTTCTTCCAGTCTTTGCAAGTTTTTAAGGAAAATGAGCTTTCTGAGCTCCAATCACTGTGGAAATGTTTGAACTTGCAATATAAACCTGTTTTATTTATTTGGTTCCAAGAATCTATTGAGTTTTATGAATAATTTACAAATGAAATTTTATCCAGATAAAATTGATCTTTTACCACTTCGATGTTAGACTCCCACATCATAAAAAAAAAGTATTTGAGTAAAAAAACACCCACGTTTCATGTTGAATGTGCCAGGAATGTTTGTTACGGGTGTGCATTTCCAACAAGGCGCAGTTCGCATCCAGTAGCAACGACTGTCAAAGTCTGTTTTCAATTGCAGATGACTCGCCAACTCATTTGTGAGCTATACCTACATGAACTACCCCTTATGTAAGTTATTTCGCACTATTCATCCATCCTGCTTCTTGCTAAAACCCAAAGCACTTTGCAAACTGATCTGAAAGCAAAGTACTCACTCTTACCTAGAAAAAAAATAAACTTTCTAGAAGACAGCGATAGATCGATGGATCTTAGGGCAGTTATCCCAATTATTATTACAAAACCAACGGGCCAGGCTTGGGGAAAAAAAAAAATATCAGGTCATTGAAAAGAAATGAGCTTTGGACAAGTCAGAACTGAAAGTTTAAAAATCTTGATCCACGACATCCTGCTGTATTTCTACCAGCCGAATGCTTACAGAAACAGGGAGTCGCCAAAGGTGGCTGATAATGAGCTGAACTGAATTGTAAGTTTAGAAGAAAGCCATGGGGGGAGGAGGGAATAGAAATCAGCATGTCTTTGCCAGTAAAAATGACTTAAAGTCAGATGCCAAGACCAAAGAATTACCCATGTAAACTGATTTGAACGAGTGACCCAAGAGGCCGCCGTGCTGGGAAGTACTCCTGGGCTGGGGGACCGCTTCTGAGTGTGGAACCAGCAGCGTAAGGCTCCTTCTTGTCCTGGTTCCTGAAACCCTCTGAGGTTTATGACCTATAACTGTAACTCTCTATTCTGATCAACAGCATGTCTTTCAAATATCCTTTGTGCTATTTCTGCTTAATTCAAAAAAGGAGATTTTTAACACTCATGATGGTGAATAACAGAAATAATTTTATCTTCCCTCCCAAAGTGAGATTTAATCCAGTGTGGTCAACGAGGGTGTCTGCTCCCCGGGGCCCATTTGGCAATGTTGGGAGGCATTTTCAATGTTTATAATTGAGTGGGAGGGGTGCTCCTGGTGTCCTGTGGGTAGAGGCCAGGGACGCTGCTAAACATCACACAATGCCTGGGACAGACTCCCTCCTCCAGCAGAGAATGATCTGGTTGCCAATGTCAGTGGTGTGTAGTAGAAAAACTGGGGTCTAATGAATGTGGGGTTTGGTCTGCAGGGACCCCCCCCATGGGCTGTTGTGCATCAAAGCCTGTCTGAGTGGTGAGCAAGGGCATGATGGAAATGTTAAATGATCCTGCCATTTGAGCCCCTAAGATCCTCTGATCACAAAGTCTCAGAGCCCATGCAAGGTTCTCTGGTATCACACACGAACAAACCCACCTCCTGTACAATACGGAGTCTATAGGTTGCAAGAAAGAAATGTTTCCACAAGAATACTTACTTTTCATTAGTCTTAGAAACATGTTAATAATTATTTAAAAGGTTATACCATGTTACTGCTTCTGAAAATATGGAGCAAAGTATTTTATTCACAGGCTAATTTTAAACATTTTTTAAAATGCACGCAAGCTTCTCTCCTTAAAATCCATTTTCTATTAAGATGCAAATGTGATACCTTTTTACCGGGTGGTACCAAGTTTTGATTTGCTTTGACAAGGTGTGAAAGTGCTTTCTTTATGTTCTTCTCTTTCATGCTTTGCAGCACAGCAGAGGGAAGAAAAGTCTCTAATCCCCATTCTTTCCTGCAATAAAGAGCATATCTTGAATTTCACATTCTTGTGATGATTAGTTATCTAAGACAAAATGGCGTTCTGGTATTTGTTGCAACAAATGAACTCTTGGTAAAGTAGGGGATGGAGACGAGCACCCAATCAGCGCCAAAACTGTTTCACTCTGGAAAGTACTATCTGATCACTGATGCAAATGTCTGCATTTTCAGAGACCTAGTGCTCCAGACAGGGTGCTATGGTGGGACTGACCAATGGTGATTCGGGAGACACAACCCAACCCCCCTGAGTCTCTAGGAATTTATTCGAATATCTGAGTTGGTATTTTCCATACCAATTTCTCTCCATCTCTTTGTTGAGTCCCATTGACACCTTTCCCTGTCTACCCTCTTTTCTGGGAGGTACGGATGCAACTCTGTTCTGCCCCCGCACCGCTCTTCACCCCCATCTCCCTCCTCAATGGCCATTTCTTCAGAAACACAGTATTCTTTTCTCTAGCTATTCATGTCTAGCTAATGCCTTCCACCCACTGTTTTTACTGGGAGGGGGTGCTAGTGTGGAGTCATATGGGGTCCATGGCCTTTAAGTTTGCCTGGTATTGCAGAGGCAGTACCATCATGTGGCTACATGAGACACACATACACAGACACACACACACACACACACATACACACAGGTCTGGATGAATATATTTTTGCCAAGAGCCCACTCCCCCAGGTTGACTACTGCACTATCCTAAGAAGGTTCTACATTTTAAGTTCTAAGAATTCTATCCTGATTGGTCATGTGTTAAACCAGCGTCTTCTAAATTATACGAAGACCTTCCAGAAGGTTCTGGCTATTTCTCCTGCTTTAGATCCTCTCTAAAGAGGGATGGGAAGATGATCATTCCTCTTCCACATGACCATCCATAGTCTTCTGCACGAGTTAAGAAGGTGTTTTAGGTATAACTTCCTATTGTCCTAGTGTGAATGCTCAACGAACATTTGCTGGGTGGATGAATGTTATCACAGATTCTGCAAGATTCTTAGGCTAGCGATTCCTGGGAGGTTTCTGACTACACCACATTCAAACTGGTAAATGTGGGTGCAGAGAGGAACAGAAATGCACTTGGCTTGTCTGAAACTTAGCTCTAGTTCTCCAAAGACACCTTTTCACATGGAAGCCCATTTCCTCCACCTCCAGGAACTTCAGAGAGGGGACGATGGGGTGAGTGGGTCCATCTGAGAACAAGGCCTCTTTGGGAGCCGAGTCCACCTCAAGCCATAGTCATGGTGTGTGCAGGAGGGGGAGAGAGACCATTTGGGAAAAGGAGTGAATGGAGCCCAGCAGCCCTGAATGTCTCGGCCTGCGCACGGAGGATCTTCTCTGTCACGGGGACAGCAGACTGGCGCCCTACATGGCATCGCCCCCCACCCCCAAAGGCGTCTGCATGTCTAAATAGTCCATTCACAAAGCGCAGGCTCACTGGCAGGCGTCCTTACCCCCTATTTCACAGCTCTCTCCCCTCAAACCCGGCGTTCCAGACCCTGGCTAGGAACACTACCTTTTGTACCATACTTGGATGATCTGAGGTCAGCTCAGGTTGTACAGACTATCTTTTAGACACAGGTGCCTCAACAGATCACACACACACACGCCACTACATAGAGCACGTGCAGGCTGGCAACGGGGGTGCGAGTCCCGTCCCCGTGTGGCTTAGGCAAGGGACTTAATCGGCCGTGCCTTGATGGGCTCGCCTGTAGAATGGAGCTCTATGCCTGCTGATCACAGAGATTTTCAGACATATCTTAATGTCTGAGGCCAAAGCTTGGCTTGGAACCGAGTTCCTTTGGGAATTTAAAGTGGTAGGCCTCATTTTAGCCACGACTCTCTAGAGGTGGATTATGTAAGAAATGGATCTCTTCCTCCCAAACGGAACACCATAATCACGTTTTGCCTCTGGCTCACAAATGCTCTGCCACAAACAAGCTCCGTAGATCAAAAATACACTGGAGGCAGCATCTTTGTCTCCTCAGCGACCCGGAGAGTCAACACTTACTCGATGTACTTGAGGGAGATTTTCTGCGTCTGCTTGGTGGTGACAGTGGCGATGTACATCTGCAAGGCCGCCAGCCGCAGGGCTATGTCGTATTTCAGCTCCGGCCCGAACCGCTCCTGAACGACATCGTTACAGCTCTGGGGAGAGACCAGCAGAGGGCGCGGCTCGTCAAAGAATGGGTCACAGGGTGTCGCCTTTAAAGGAACGGGTGACCAGCAGCTCCCCGAGGGCTTCCACCTTCACTTCAGAGGCAAGGAGGAGAAATCTGGAAACATTTCCAATGCCCTGCTTGAAAGCCAGTCAGTGTTAACTGTGCGCACAAACAGAGACCACACAAGCCAAGGGACAGTCATTGACCAGCGAGCTGCTACTTACACACTTCGCTTTTCATAACAAGATTTAGGAATTTAGGGATGACATTTCCAAACCCAGGAGCAGCGACTGAACACACGAAGCCCTGAGTGCACGCTGTGGCTTCTGGAAGCAGGCGGACAGGCTGGCATTCCAATGCTGTTCCTTCACTTCAGAGGGGCGCGAATGAGACAAATTCCCTAATGGTTCTGTGCCTCAGCTTCCTCTTCTGTAAATTGGGGATACTACTGCTCCCCGTGGCCAGGGTGGAATGAGTTAATGCAGAGCTGCCTGATCTGTCGGGTGTTAAGAGCCCTCGCCACCATCACCACGCCCGCGCCGGCAGCCAGCACTGAAGGGCTACGGAAGCGGAGCAGCAGGCCAGGCGTTGCCAGGGGCCACCTGTGGGTCTGTAGGTGTCCCTTCGACATGCTGGCAGCCTGCACCCCACTGGAGTGGCCTAAGATCACGGGTGCCCCCGGAGCGGGCAGAGAGGACAATCCCGTAGCCACTCCAGCGGAGAAGGTCGCAGTGGCTCAAGAGGCATTCTGTGCCTCCGGCCTTTCTTTCTTCATCTGTGAAAGGGGAACGCCTGCCTCACAGGGTTTGTGGTGAGCAGCTCACTGAAGAGTGGCTGAGAGAGGGCTGGGAAGGCCTCGGTGCTATCCGGCCTTTGTGCTACGGACCTTCTCGCTGGCGCACAGGGCCCAAGCGCAGCTCACTGGGAGGGGAGCACGGCACAGCGTAGGCCTGTTCTGCCTGCGAGCCCACTGATTTTTGTTCTGGGAAATGAGGCTTTTGGGCTAAAAAAGCCTTGTTAGCCTTGCCCCTTCTTTATTCTTTGTCCGGTCCCAAGGTTTCAACTGGAAAACCCAACCAGGGCGTGCTTGCTTCCTTGCTGAGACGCACATCTGCGACCACTTCACATGCCCATTTTACCAACTGGGAACGCAGCGTCCCGTCTGGCTTCTGTACACATTTGCCTTCGGGCACTTACGCCGGCTCACTGGCGGGGCGGCGCAGGTTCTGTCCGCACGCTCTGGGTGTGTCTCAGCCCATCCCTTCACTCCTACAAGTGAAGTCACATTCTCTCGCCCGCCATCCCTAATAGGGTCTCCCACCTTGGCCACCCCTTACAGTCTTCGACCTGCCTGGATTGCAGCACTCCTTGTTGGAAGCAGATCTGACTTGAGGCAGGAGGCAGGGCGGTCTGAGAGAAGGCAGCCTCTCAGAGCCATCCCAGGCTACCATTTTGCTTTGCTACTCTTGGTTCACCAGTTATTTCTGAATGCGGGGGTTGTCCATAATTGGGCACCAGAGGGTGAGGAACCAGAGAGTCATTTTACAGAGTCTTATGAGGGTGAGGAAGCCACGTGGCATGGTGCTAAGGCACAACAGGACTGGAAGAGTGAGTTTTTTGTCAAATCATGTTGATAAATTGCTTTCTTCTGCGACTATTGTATGACAAATTTGAAGTAGGAGTTTTGCAACTGTGAATTTATAGACAAAAGGTCCACATTTGATGCCAGGTTCTGTCAACTACTGATCAAATGAACTTGAACATGCCATTTCATCTTTCTTTGAGTTTCAGTTTTCTTATCTGAAAAATGGGCTAACTCTAGCTAACTCTCAAGGTTGCTGGTACACTGGTAAGGATAGTTCATAAAATGAGATGTGCTTGAAACGAGTGAATCATCACTATTATTTCTCCTTAGGTTTGTGACTGAGTTTTTCCCCATTCCTGTTATGCCCTGTACTTAACCAGACTTCTGAGGGGATTTTTTAGTTGAAGTGATCTGTCACTTAATTACTTTATATAATTACTTCAGTCTGATCCTGGAGAGTTAGTGTGAAGTCTAACTTACACGTTTTTTTTTTGGGGGGGGGTACTAATCATGCTTTTAATCTTCTCAGTACATAAAATATAGTTCCTCAAGCAAATGGCAGTCATTTTTTTTTTGCAGAATAGAGAGGTCTCAACGGACTCCACTATGGGCCAACAAAAAAAGTTCATTTATAACGAATGTGGTTAGATATTAAAAAGGAAACCAATACTGCTGTAGTGTCTGAAAGCATTTTGTAGCCTCCGTGGTATTATCCTGTTTGCTAATTGGCATAACAATCTTTTTCGTGGTACATAGTGAACAGGTGAATGTCAGCACAGCTCATTATAATTATGAATTAGAACAGTCTGGATTATTAGGGTTCACTGTTATTATATATGTGAACATCCGTAAGCTAGCTCAGGGCCCATTACAGAGTAGGAGATTACCAGATATTATCGCTGCTGGAGCCTCTGTCTCCATCATCATGGCTCGCCCAGTCAAAGGCTGCTGTCCTCATTAGGAGCCCTCTAGGTTGAAATGATTTTTGTCTTTGTAATGTGACATATATTGCTTCTGCTTACTCTTTTGTTCCCCAGGCTAATTTTATTTTATTCTTTTAGTACCTTAAAATCACCATGGCACACAGCACCGTTTGCAGATTCACTGACTTACATTAGACAAAAATGGTATTTTAGACGTTCTGTGATCCAAGGCATTTTGAATGCCTCAGAGGGTCAGAGGCTGAGAAATTCTCATTTCCTATTTTCAGTAGAGGATTTCTGTGAAGATGGTGGCTTTAGTTTGGTCTCTGTCACCACCATGCATGCCCTCTACCTACCCACTGGCTACTCCTGGCAGGGGTGGCTGATCCACTACCATGAAAGCAACACCCAAGGTGGAAAGCAGAAATGTCATCAGTCTTCTGCTAGTCTCTGGAAAAGACCCCCTGTTCTCTGGACAGTCTCACAGGTATAAAATATGTGTCTTTGGAAGAAGAAAGATCTCCATGACCTCTATCCGTTAGACTTGAGCCAGCATCCTGTATAGAACCATGCTTAGAGGTGCTCCGGGTCTACACAAGAGGCCTTCCTTCCCCGAGACAAACACCACCACCTTCTTTTGTAAGTGAAATGGGTTTGTGATGTTTAAAACAGAAGCAGAGGAAGATGGCTTTAAAGCAGCATCCTGTTCATGGGAGTCCTATGGAACTACAGACAACAGCAGCCGAGGGCACCTCACTGTCTCCGGCCAGGCACTAACTGGTTGCCGTAACTACTTATTTTCAACCAACAAGCTTAAAAACTGCACAATCTGAGCTGCAGGGACAAAGCCCTGGGTGGGCCCACAGCAGGAATGTGTGGAAGATGCAGAAAAAGGTCAGCTGAGCACCAGGTTGTTTCATGCAGTCACACCTGGGTTCGCTGCCCTGCTGGGGAAGAGGGACAGTGTTCAGGTGCCCAGGTGACCAACATTTAACATTAAAATAAACAAACAAACAACGGCTTCGCTGTTCTGGATAGAAAATGGTATTAAGGCAACACACATTTCTTTACTTGACAAACCGTATTCTTAATAGGATTTGCCTCTTCCTGATGCATCTGGATTATCTTCGTCAACATTAAGCACCCTACTGAGCTGGAAATATCACAGCCTCTTCCAAGGACCCCTGAGGTGAGGTGCCCTTAACTGGCCTCTCCCTGAGTGTCCCTATCAGCTGGAAGGTTTTAGTAGTTTCTGCTTAAGTCTTTGACTTAATTTCTGTTCTTTTGGGCTTACTGCCACTTTAATAGTTGTCACTCTTCCTAACTGCTGCTATTTATCTCGTGTCTCTCTGCCATCTTCCATTTCCTTCCCCCACCCCGACATTTTTAAAGATCACAGAAGCTTTGAAATAGACAAGAAAATACCAAGAACAGTAAAGCAAACACCTGTGTATCAACTGCAATTGTTTCTTTCATTTTCTTTCCCTACTTCTTTGCTTTTTTTCTCACTTGTGGCTCCAGCAACCGTTGTCGGGTACAGGCATCCCCAGGCAAACAGGGCGTCTTTTTGTTGGCTTCATTTTTGCCTTTTCTTCCTTTTGTTGTGGGGGAAGGTTACATCTAGGTTTACAAGCTCTTTGAGTAGTTATAATGCCAGATGCCTAAGCATTAGGTAAGTGGGTTCTTACTGTTTAATGTGATTATACTGGAAATTTAAGTGAGTGTAATGGGAAGCAGTTATAGAAAAATAAAGGAAATAAAGGAGCATCTCCTTCCTATATATCAAAGGGATAAATTTTCTTTGGGACAAACTAGCAAAGGTTCTCATTTCTGGAGGTCTTGTTTTTTTGAGAATTATATCCTAGAATCAGATAGAGATTGGCTGCAAAGGACACTATCTTCTTAAAGTCTTGTTGCCTTGAAATGAATAACTCCAGTACAATGGTGGATATCATGATATTTCAGAACAAGTTAAGCAACAAAAGTATGGATGACTAAATAAGTAAATAAAGGAAAAAGGAAATCGCTTTCTTAGAGTAGAAGGCCAATTAATAAGTGAAGAAGAAATAATGCAATGAGAAAAGCCATCATTTTTAACCATTGGAACAGCAGAGTTAGGCAAGAATCATCAATGAATACTAAAACTCGTGGGTGAAAGGATCATTCACGAGAGTTGCAAAGTAACTCCACAAGTTGCTTAGTCAGACAAAAGAGAAAGTAGTAGCTTTTGAAGAGATAAATCTGGAGAACACAGCGTTAAGAGGACAAACGGACACTGTACGCCCTCCTGATGCCAGGTACTAATGAGGACAAAAAGTCACCCACGTTGTTCTTCTGCCCAAGAAGAAAGCACTTTGCTTTCAGTTCTGATTAAAAACCTAACAAAGGTTCTCCCACCAAGTGAAGGGAAGGATCACTGAGAGAGGCTTTTTATTGCCTTCAATCCAATGGCAAGATCAGAGAAATCCAATTTCAGAGATTTCTAAAAAATAACTGAGCACTACTCCTCAACACGGTCAAGGTCTCGAAAGTCAAAGAAAGTCTGAGTACTGTGCCAGGTTTAAGGAGATTGAAGTGACGTGACAACCAAGCGCATTCTGTTTTAGAAAAAACTGATAAAAAGGACATTTGGGGACAACAGAGAAAATTTGGATATGCACATTGGTCAGATAATGAAAATCTATCAGTATGAAATTTCCTGATTTTATTAATTGTGCAATGATTATGTAAGAAAATGTCTTTGTTACTAGAAAATATATATGGCAGTATTCAGGGATAAATGAGTATGATTCCAGCAACTGACATTCATATTGTTTAGGAAAAAACAGCGTGTGTGTGTGTGGGGGGGGGTGGGGCACACATACACTAAAGACACAGTAAATGTGGTAGGTTAATAACTGGTGACTTTGGGTGAAGGATACTGAAAAGTCCTTTTACTATGCTTACAACTTTTCTGTAAGTATGAAATTATTTCACAACCAAAAGTAAAAGTTTGAGAAGCGCCACTGAGTACTGAGCTTGTGGTGGAGGACAAAGAGAAAGAAGATCCCATTTAAAGAGTTCAGGAAATCCCCCACAGACAATTTCCCCCCAAACAATATAAGAACATGCCCAACTTCTCACTTACCTGAACGTAGAGATACTCGAAAGCAACCGGATCTCTCCTTAAAAGGTCAATTGGATCCTTTGGGACAAAGCTGATGCGGAAAAGACACCTCATCTTATGGGAGCTGGGCCTCTGGGTCACCTAGAAAAGACCAATCACAAGACTCGTCCAGTGATGACTGAGAAAAGGCGAGGGACGCGGAAACACTGTGTCTTTGAACACGGAGACAGGAAGTGTTTGAAGGGCCTTTAGTCTTTGTCCCAGGTACGTGTTCCTGAAAAGCACATACCTGCGCCTTAGGCAAGGTTCCCCGAAGCAGCCCAAGATGAGGGGCACACTGAGAAACCACTCTCAGGAGAGGCCAGTAAGGGGGGGGGAGCAGGGCAGGAGCAGAAGTACGTCCCCAGCAGGGGTACCTCCAGCCTGACCCCGGGGGACTCTGGTGTCCCTGTAGCACAGCAGGACAGGAGCCGCAGGTGCATCCACAAGGAAGTCGGTGGTTTCAGGCTGTCCCAGGGCAATGTGACTCTGCAGGTATGGACAGATGGGGGCTGGGGGACCTGTCGACACTGGCTGTTGTGAGTGGTCTCACACCAGGCTAGGGTGGGGGGCGAGGGTCCAATGTGGACTATAAATAACCAGAAACATACCTGGGCAAAATACAGGAGGAATAAATCTTGAATTCGGTGAAAGAATTTAATAGTTACCAGAGGGAAGGGAGAAGGACGAAATGGTGTTGGCACGGGTTGTCTGATGGAGGGTGAGTGGAACATGTGTGCCTATGGAGGAGCAAAAATATAACCCCAAAATTAAAATTAAAACATTAAACAAGAGAAGAGACCCAGAGGCAGAGCACAGAGATGGTCCACTGGAGCGTCACGGTGTATTACTACAGAGCAAGCCGTGGGCTTTTCTAAATCACACTCCAGAGGGACTGGCTGTGGAGTGTCATCATGAGCCTCTATGACATCACACTTGGGAGTAGGAAGACAGATGCTCTGGCTTGTGCTTCCAAAGGACCCCAAAGTTCCGATACCATGGCGCTATTGAACTTGTTCCAAGGAGCTTGGAATACACCACCATTAAGGGGTAAGGACCATGGAATCATTTTGGTGAGCTCTCCTTTCTCCATCACAGTATGTGCCAACTACTTGGTGTAAGTTTCTCAGTTCCTCTTGCAATAAAAGGGAATCAATCAATGAACAGTAAAACAGTTGAATGGATAAAAGACATCCGCCTCTGAGAAAGAAGGGGAAAGATCTTCAATTTCCCTTAGAGGTCAACATGATGAATTAAAACCACGCACCATGAACTTGTGGTTTTATGCACTTGTTTGTAAGTGTACACACTTGTAACTACTTTTAGGCAGGGGGAAAATCTGGCAAAAGAAGAATGTTATCTGCAACGTAGAAATTCAAAATAAAAATAGCAATAGCTTTATTGAGGCCTGTGGTGTGTGTGTGCATATGGGCTTATACATTCTTAAGAGTTTACATTGCCCACTTGTTGAATAGAAGAATTGCAACAGGAGAGCTCCCCCAAATTTTAAGAGTTAACTAGAAATAGAGAGACACTTGAACCAGCTTCCTGACCGTGGACAGGGTTGTAAAGCTGACTGGATCCCTGAGATCTGAGGGCTGAGAGCTGCTCATCACTGGCTCATGGGATAGTGAACCAGGAAGGGCAGCCGAGAACCCGAGACCCGAGTGTCGGCCAGGCCTGCTGTTGTCTCAGTGGCATCATAGGGCATTTCGTCAGAAGGTCACACTGATGTTCATCAGGTATCACCTTATCTCCATCTACTTTAATTACCTGTTAGGCTTTATCTTTCTTGAATCTCATAAGTGACCTTGATTCTAATTGTATCATCAGGTTACACTAGTTTGGAGAAATAAATTAATATAATGCAAAAATGCTTCAGCCTCATTAGAAAAGGTAGCCCATTCTTTACCGCAAATATATAACTCAAAACAATTTCTTGGAAACTTTAGGTAGTATGTAAATAGGCAATAGTATTTTTTAGACAGAAGTATAATGTCAAACTGCCAGAAATTCAGGTAGATTTGCTTAAAAGTTCCTTTGGGGATTTTCATCAAAATTACATGCTTTTAAATGATTTTTGTTATTGGACAATTCCTTAAACTTACTCCCCTTTCGACCATGCCTATAAATATCTTATCGATGAAGCTTTTCATATGTGTTGATTTCTAAGGCAGACAGCTGATCTGCTTCAGGGTACTTAACTCAATCCGTTTACTTTTTGAGAGATAATACTTGAGTTTTAGCACTTTGCTTTCAGTTCTGATTAAAAACCTAACAAAGGTTCTCCCACCAAGTGAAGGGAAGGATCACTGAGAGAGGCTTTTTATTGCCTTCAAACATTTTAAGAGATTTGAAAATTGGAAATCAAATCTGGACTGTGACGTCGTGGTTATCTATCACCAGAAGGGAGTCTTAAAGAGTCTTTGTCCAGTTAAATGAGCACGAGGCTTTCCCATAAGGGTGACGTTCAGAGAGAAACTACTAGGCCAACTACTCGGTGTTAGTGTCAAAGTAGAGCCAGAATCATCAGAGTAGACCTAACTAGAAATGTCAAAAAAGTGGGTGTTTCACTGCACTCCTAGGGACTGGCTGCCCGCTCAAGTGGCTGGGGTGGGCATTTCCTGCTCTAAGCCGAGCATCGGTGCCCATCTGCCTGCATAACAGGGAGCCACTGCCCTTGGCCACCACCTATAGGGGTCATGCGTTAGGAGACAAATGTCCCTTGGGTAGAGGTGGGTCTACACGGGCTGCCCACAGTGGGAACTGGCTTGATAACACGCTCTTGACCAGCTTCCAAGCTTTCCCCATCTCTCTACACGCCCTGCTCCCAGTGTTACTCAAGACCTCTTCCCCAAAACCACTTGCTCCCAAATCCTTGTCTGAAGTTCAGTTTCTAGAGGACCTCAGAGTCAAACACTGTGCTTTCACACAAGGGATTCTGAGGAGATGTGCTGTTCCTTGGTCTGGAAGTGGAAAGCCAGTCTTCTGTTTCCAGACGCGTTTTGGCACAGGTTAAAACAGTGCACAGCCATCTGAAGTGATTTAAAGTAACTATGAGTGGACTGAAGCCTGATAAAGTGATAGGTCAAGATTAGAAAGAGAGATGTGAGTGACCAGAAATGGCAACGTTTGATCTGTTCATTGTATTCAGCTTGACTGAATCAAGAGAGTTGGGGCTAACTGTGGGCCCCAAAGTGTGGGACCCCAGCTTTTAATTATGTAACAGCTCAGAAGCACTTTAGTGGGATGAGGCTCAACTGGTGCCCCTCAGGCTCCCTCTGGAAAGTTCCTTCATCACTGGACTCTCCCAGGCAGGACCTGGCCAACCTCCTTTACACTCCTGACAGAGCCTGTACCCTGTGGAGTCACAGGAAGACGCATGGTGCCATGCCCAGCTCAGCAGCCAAGCAGCCTGCTTGACTCCCCAAAGAACAGATGGGGGCGGCATCTTGGTAACTAGGAACTGGGACACATTGGTGGGTCACATATTTACAGTGGGCAGGACTGGGCAGCGATTTCAGGCTCCTCAAAATAGTCTGAAGTCTGCACCCAGAGCTTAAAACAACAAAATAGAATTTTGGCTGAATTTAAATAATCTCAGAAACCATTTCTTTTTGATGCTTTCTGGCGATCAATTATGAAACTAGTTAACAGGCCCTTACAATGTCCTGCAAGTGAATTCCACAGCTCCCCAAGCCCAGGGAGTGGCTGCAGTCTCGGCATGACTAACCTGCTTGGAGACCACCTGGCAGTGGATGAGAACTTGACAGACAGGGAAACAGCCCCTCGAGGTGACAAATTCTGAATGGCCGTGCTCCGTGTGGTGGAGGGGGCCAGGGCTGCAGAGCACACATTTGAAGGATTCGAGGACGGGGTGTGGGGGGGGACTCGGCCTGAATGACCTCTCTCACCACAGCCCCAACCCGTGAGGGGTCATTTCACACACCTGAGTGAGAGTCTCCTGTTCATGAAGCAAGAGAAGCTTGGTCCCGGCTCCTTCTGTCCGCTGCTCCAGCATGAGGGAGAAGTGTTCGATGCCTTTGATGGAGAGCTTCTCTTGAAGGGTTAAGATGACGTCCTTACAGAGGAAACACGGACAAGATGTGATGAGGGTTGAGGTAGCGCTTTTGCGGACTCTACGTGAGGCACAAGGGCTGCTTGCGTAGGTCCCTTCACGTCCCTCTTTATACCTTTGCTTGGTTCTAAAGCTTGATCCTCCCAAGACCCAGAAGGATCCAGAAATGAGGTTTCCTTCTCCTGCCATTTCCCTGCCCGCCCCCCACCCCCCACGCCAAAGTGCCATGGAGCTTAGGAACAGGGAGACAAGATGAGTTGCTGCAGAGGAACTTTCCTGTCATGTAAAGTTTTGACTTAGGTTATCAAAAGATGGTGTGGAGGGCCTCCCTGGTGGCACAGCAGGTCGAGTGCCGCGCTGTGAAGCTGTCGCAGCCTCTGCAGTGCCGGTTCGATCCTGGCTGGCCCCGAGAATCCCACATGGCACGGCAGACCTCTCCTGTCGCACCCGCTGCTCCCCTCAGCAGTGTATTTCTGTCGTGTGCCTGTTCTGCTCCCTGCTCTGCCTCTGGTGAATCCTCTCAACCTCCCACACCTCTGGCCCATACCCTAGCTCTTGTATAAAAATAAATAATAAAATCTTAAAAAACAAAGATGGTGTGGTATGGTCACTTGAGTTCCCTTTTCTTCTAAGTAGGGGGACAATGAAACCACCCTTGAAAGGAGTCAAAAACAACATGCTGCCTGCCAAATTTGGCCCACTGTCTGCCTTTGTCGATAAAGTTTTACTGGTACCAGCCCTCCCCCCGAGTCTGTGCATGTGCTGGCTGTGGCTATGTTCACGCTATGCACCTGCAGGCCTGAGCTGCTGCCACAGAGACTGTATGGCCTGTGAAACCTAAAATATTTGCTATCTGCTTCATAGAGAAAGCTTGCTGACGCCCAGCCTGCCCTTCCAGAAGAGCATGTGGTAGTGGTAAGGAATGTGAAAACAGTTTGGCTTCTGATCGCCGCTCTACTGTGTATTAGCTGTGCAGCTCAGGGCAAGTTATTTAACCTGAAAGTATCTTGCCTTCCCCATCTGTAAGCTGCGGAGATCAGGGGGCCTGACTCAGAGATATCAGGCCCAGATGAAGTTGCGCTGGAAAGCACTTATTACAGTACTGTTTGGCCCAGGGTTACAAGATACATATATTAGCTTTTATTTCAAATTTCTGGGGAAGGCGGAATGAGCAATCTTTGTCAGCAAGCCTTTAAAGGATTAAACATTTATGATGGGAAAGGTGCTCCACAGACGAGCTATGCAAAAGGCATGTCCTCAACCATTACTCTTTTCATGTACTTGACACTAGTCAGCATTGACTCTTCAAGATAATTTATACTCAGAGGCTAAAAATCCAAGAGGGCAGTTGATTTCAATCTGGGGCAATTTTGCCCCACAGCAACACCTGGCAATTTCTGGAGAGAGTTTTTGTTATTACCGTGGGGTTGGGGAGGCTATTAGTATCAAGGGGTGCTGCTACTGCCCAGCCCAGCCCTCACAGCCAAGAATTATCTGGTGCAAAGTATAGAGATAGAGAAACCCTGCCAAACACAGGGTTTCCCTTTAGCGACCTTTCTGGGGTTTTCATTCTTCTCTGTAAACCTTGTGCAATTTCTTCAGACCCTTTCAAACAATGATCCAGACGCTCAGCCCACCCCTCCAAAATATCATTCAACAGCAATGCCTTGACTCTATTGAATTTCATAAAAGATACTGTTTCACAATGTTTGCTCAAGGTCCAGAAGAGAGAAAACAAAACCAGCCTTTGCGTGGCAACAACCCGTACTTTTTTTTTTTTTTAATGATTCCTCAAAAAATTTTATTTTATTTTATTTTTTTGTATTTTTTTTGTAGTTTTTTGTTTTTTATAATAAATTTTATTTTTATATTCCCCATACAATTGCAACCCCCCCATTCTGACCCCAATCCCTCCCCTCCCGCCCCCCACCCCCCAAAAAGTGTCTCTGGTTCATAGTTTTTTGGAAATGCAAATCAAAACTACCATGAGATACCATCTTACACCAGTGAGAATGTCACATATTTAAAAAACTAGCAACAACAAATGTTGGCGAGGATGTGGAGAAAAAGGAACTCTCCTGCACTGCTGGTGGGAGTGCAAACTGGTCCAACCACTATGGAGAGCTGTGTGGAGATTTCTGGACCTACTAAACATAGAACCCGTACTTTTTAAACACCCTCCTCCATCACCGGGGAGAACACTGGAAGAATTGATAGTGATGGTTTTTCCCTATTGTGATTCTGCAACAAGAATTTTGGCAATTTTTATTAAACGGTGTCATATCCCTTTCGTAACTATACTATTTCTATTTTACGCCTACCAGCCTGTGTCTGTTGTGCTAATAAGGCTGTTAGGTACAAGGTAACTTTAATTTGACTTGAGTTCTTTGCATTGTGTCCTGTCTTCTCAGTCGTCCGCACCACTCGGGGAAATCAGACATAGTCTAGCGTGCATTCCTATAACAAAGAGGCCGGAGGGAATTCACAACAGGGCTTCCTTCTAAATGCAGATTTATTTCTTTTAAGAAATGAACGAAAGTTTTTACCTTTCTGTGGGGTCAGGAGCTTATCTGACCAGTTGGTAGCACAGAACAAGGCCAGAGTGTCAGAGGGAGTTGCGATAATGCAGCTCTAAGGGTTAGGTCAAGGCTCTGTAGTGCATGACCCATGGGTCAAATGTGATGGTGTCTATTCATTTACGCATTGTCTCTGCAGTGAAGGGTTAACCATACCTAAAGAAAGCTTTGCCTCTGTGCTCCTGGCCCTTGGGAGGTAACCTCTAAATCCTTGGAATGTCCTGCCTCTTGTTTACCTAGGGGTTTGGGCCATACCAGATAGTCCATCCCAACAGTGATTTTTTTAAAAAGATTTATTTCATTTATTTATGCATACAAGAGCTGGGGTGTAGGCCAGAGAGAGTTGCTGTATGGGGGTGAGAGGATTCACCAGAGACAGAGTGGGAAGCAGAACAGGCAGATTGACTGAAATCCACTGCTGAGGGGAGCAGCGGGTGAGACAGAAGAGGTCTGCTGTGCCATGTGCGTAGCTCCCTGGCTGGGGATCAAATTCATGCTGCAGTGGCTGTGGATAGCTTCTTAATGCTGAGACTTAACCCCTTGTGCCACCAGGGAGGCCCCCCCAACAGTGATTTTTGGTGGAGACTGTGGGCCATGTGAAATCAGCTTGACCTCTAGACCATACAGATGGTCTTCTGTGTCCATGTGGACAAAACCCAACAAAAACCCTGAACTCCAGGCCCAGGTAAGTTTCCCTGGGTAGCAGCACTCCCTGCTCATTGTCAGGGAGCATTGCCAGGTGGAATAGCACTGTCTGTGGACTCCGCTGGGAGAGGTCACCTGGAGCTCTGTGCCTACTCTCTACCGCCCTGCACACTTTGTCCCATTGTTGACTTACATTTGGAGCCTTTTGTTGTAATAAACTACAATTGTGAGTATAACAATTTGATGCTTTCTGTGAGTCCTTCAAGTGAATCACCGAAACCGAGGGTGGTCTTCACGACTTCCCGAGCCCACCTATCTCTGGCTATTTTCGTGACACAAGTTGAGTAGTGACAAGAGAGATGAAATGGCTCATGAGGCCTCACACATTTGCTCTTGAGCCCTTCCTGGAAAAAGTTTGCAGACCCTTAGGTGACTTTTTCAGTAATTGGAGTAATATCTCACCATAAATTGATTTTGAGTAGGAATAAAGGAAAGGGACTTTTTCAGATACTAATTACCATTAGCATTCTCTACAAAGGAAGTTCATATTTCATCTGGAATGATTTAAAGATAATTTAAATGCTCCATCATCAATCCACTACTATCGTCTGCTCTATTACCTGCTAAATCACTACCTGTTTATAGCAATTCCAAACAAGCTGCTTGCTGGTGTCATGGCAGTCAGAATGTGCAGCAAGTGGGCCCTTGCAGAACCACTTCTGCTCATAAGGTTTATGCTGAATAATTAAAAAACCTGAGAATTAGGAGTTGACTATTGATAGACATTTTAAGTACTGATATTTAAGAGCTGATATTCTCCCGATACATTATCGTACAGATCATCACTAGGGACACTTTTTTTTTAAAAAACTCAATAAAATTTTTACTGTGCCATTTGAAGAAAGTCTATTTTAGGCTGATAGAGCATCAGGGAACAATCAATTTCTGAACACACTTTTAGCCAATAAAAAAGAGATGATGTACCCCCCTCCCTCCCATGAACGAAGCACTGGGAGGAAAACCCATATGCTTTGTTTAAATCCCTATTATGTAAATCTCACCTGTGGCTCTGAAATGCAGAGGCATGACTGTACTTGAAATACTGAGGCATGACTCTTCCTTTTCACTCCTTCTCCTAAGAAGCATGCCTCATTTCTGCCTTTTTATCCATCATTTCCATGAAATTGCTTACAGTAATTAAAAGCAAATGTTATCTTTACATTATTCGATGCCTTGTTTGTGCTGGACACCAAAGTAGCAGACATTCAATTAACAGCTAACATCTTAATCATCTTGGCGGCTGACATTGCTGAGAAATCATGCTGCTTTGGGAAGGGTGCCAAACCTTCTTGGTGACAGTCACACTATTTTAATTAATCTGCAGTTGCATTAAAATGACTAGCCCTAGTGTTTCTTCACTGATGGCATATTTGTCTCTGTCTCTGTCTGTCTCTCTCTCACACACATACACAGAAGCTTCTTAGTTAAGCATTTTGTTTTTAAGTATTCACATGCTACTAGATTTGGTAACAACCAACAAAATATCAGAAACCAACAGATGATTCTGAAAGACAAGACCCACAGAGCACTTCCACAGTGTACTTGGCAATGCCCAGGCAGTTTAGAGGGTCCTTTTACCTTTATGGAGGTGCTGCAGTCAAAACGAAATGACTTGGTCTGCCCATTTTCCAGATAGACTTTCAAAACATTTGGCATAAAAAGAAGTGAATTATCCTTAACAGTTTCCTGTTTAGCCAAAAAGAAAAAAGAAAGCGGTGTAAGTCGGGCGAATTAGAATACTGCTCTTCACAGGAGCAGCGGCAGTATCACAGCTAGACCATTTATTCTCATTACAGCAAAAAACACAACAGTTGAATCCTCTAAGGCCAACCAAGGTGTCCCTTTGGTGACATCTGAGTTCAGTTGTTGAGAGCAAAATTCTTTTCTGGCGACAGATAATTCAGTTGATTCACGTGAAAGACATCTTCCTACCATAAAATCAATTAGATGAATTCTACTTTTTTAAATCAAGGTTTCCCACTGGAAAACACAATTTCAGAAAGACTTCCTTGTAATTAAGCCACAGTGTGTAGGACTCCAAGCCTGCACCAGCAGGCAGGATGGCCTGGGCGAGAGGGCCGCAGCGGCGGTGTCTGGGGGTGCCTGGTGGCGCCTGGCAGTCATGATGGCGAATCACAGATATTAATGTGCTTCGACAGTAAAGTGATTTTGTGAGATGATTTTTAACCCATTCGGGAATGTTCCTCCAACTCAAGGGGGAAATAGAAGGAATGGCTTAGTGGGTTAAAAGAGTATAACAAATAGATACTAATTTAGCAATAACTCAAAAAGAAGGCACAACACACGACTAAGTCAACAGCAGAAATGTAGTCCTTTCGATTTTCTCTTTCATTGGAACTAGAAAGAGATGAGTGTGCGGGGAGGGAGGAGGCATGTTGGATGAGTTCCAGGCATCTTCGGGGTGAGCTGTGTCACTCACATGCAGGAGCTCATAAGGTTGCAGGGTCACAGGGCACTCAGCAACCATGGAAGCATCCTTCACTGAAGATGAAGTTTTGAGAGGTTTGCTATTGTCCGAGAGTTGGTCCAAGAAAATCCACTTCCTAAGTATTTCCATAACAGGCGACATGGCTTTCATGGCCTAGCACTTTCTCTCCACTCCTTCTGTCTCTTTAGTCCTATGACGTCACACACAACTTCCTGCTATCCAATGCACTGAGTTAGTTGCGCTCAAAGTTGAGACTAAATGACATGCAATGGCTGAGCGGAGCAGAGGAGACTGGGCTGAAGATGGGAGCAAAGGCTGAGGAGCACCAGGCACCCGATGTCCCGCTGGACCTAGCCCCGGTCAAGCACACAGACCCTGGGAGATGAGCAACCCCAGCACCGCCCTTACACTCCAGCCACCCAGAAGCACCTTCTTTTATCTAGGGACAAGTTGAAATTTCCTGCAGCAGTTTCTAGAATCATATCCTCTTGAAAGAGGCATGAATTCTTTGCACAATCTCATGCCCAGAAGCTTGAGGAAGATGAGGGATGTTTCAGATGACCTTCTGCGATACAGCGATTCCTCTGGTGGAACTCTCCACCCTTAAACTGGAACAGTCTTGCTGATACCCACTAATGCAGGGCAACCCTGCATCCAGAGTGACAGAGGATCCGCCAACGCCAGCAGAACAGACCATGGTGTGAACAGGGCCAGAGGGGGTGAGGTGGGAGAAGGTGATTGGGAGCACAAGGCTGCAGCTAAAATGCTCCCAGGCTTGCACTAGGTCACTCTTAGTCCCCTTGCACAGGACCTCTGAGCCCCTGGAATCCAAGAGGTCAGCAAGCGTGGAACAGAAGGCACCTGGACCGTTTGACCCCGGATGTGCAGAGGTAGGTCTGTGACCCATTACGAGCATGCCATGTTTGAGACTTTGTCCTTGTGGGTTTATTTAAACACCAGCAGCAACAACAAAACCTCACTGACAAAAGCTAGCATCTCAAAAGTCAAAAAAAAAAAAAAAACAAACACAAAAAAACCAAACATTAGTGCCCTAGATGGCAGCTTTCTAAAAACGAGAAACACCACGCTCGATGTTTCAGGGAAAAATTGAAAATAAAGCACCCTGTTGATGTTTGCATTATTCATTTTGAAGCTCGGCTATGTGCCTGCGTAATCATGATTTCTATCGAGGCCGATTGGTGGAGGCTGGGCAGTACTGCTTCATTTCTGGCTGCATATATGAGACTTTTCTATCTTTTTACCTTTGCAATTTTGATTAGTTGAAAGAACACATTTTTTTCTTGGATAAGAAGAAACTTAAGGGAAACACAATATCTTACTCAAAGCACACAAAAGGCCATCCGATGGAAGAATGCTTAGCTGGCAGAATAGACAGAAACAGGTGGAGGTTTCAAAGGGACATCTTTTACTCAATAGGAGGCAATGTCAGCATCTCAAATAAAACCAACAAAGTAGTGAGGTCTCTCATACTGGAAGCATTCCAGGAAATACTGGATATGTTGGAAGGAATTCAGGCACATGATCTCTCAAGCCCTTTATAACCCTGAGATTCAGCACCTCATGAAATCAAACAGCTGATTCCAGACTGATCATCTAGGGACACTGCTGGCCTTGTCTGAGTCACAAGTAGGGGACTTAACTCACCGACACTTGGCCATTGATGATGACCTCCTCAGAGAAGCGCACTTTGACTGGATTTGACTTTAATCTTGCCTTTTTTGCAGCACTAATAAATGCTGATTTAGGAGACTAGAAAAAAAGAAAACATTTTATTGGATTACTGGTTACATAAAGCAAACCTCGTAACAGCTATTTTCTATCTTTACCCTCCCAGACATGCAGTATTTTTGCTAAAAAGCAAAGTCTTTGGTATCTGCCCAATTTAAGGATGAAACAGAAATTATGGATGCAGCTGAAATCCTGTCATGCTCATAAAGTGCTAGGTTTGATTAAGTCACCAGACCAGAACTACAAAGCACATGTTCCATATTCTGACTAAGTACATTTCCAAGGAACTTTTTAAATGATGTCTGTTTTTATTTTTATTATTTATTTATTTCTGTGGGACCCTCGCCGGTGGCCGGGGATCGAACTGGTGCTGCAGAGGCTGCGGGCAGCCTCGCAGCCCAGCGCTCAGCCGCTGCGCCACCAGAGGAGGCCCTGATGTCTGTTTTTAATACAGACCTTTGAGTACACTATGGAAGGTAAGGAGGTGGCCAAATCGACTGCTGGGTTTATGAGTTGATCATTAATTATCTATATTAATGAGGCAGAGAAGAACCACTGATTGTTCTAAAATGACTGATAATCCCATTGCTATTCACATTGAGGGCATATGGGCAGTACATGTGTGTGATGCGTGTGCATGTGTGCACAACACATACATATACACACACTCTATGTTCTGCATGTATCCCAAACCTGAGCTTTAGCCTTTTGTTGGTAATCTATGATCCTGCGATCTTACTGGGCAGGATGGAGAGAAAACCTTAGTTGACCTCACATTCTAGTTCAACTTACGAGTCCTTTGAACTTTATGACCCTTTCTCTTTCTTTTATTGGGAAGAAGGGCTGAGCGACCCTTCCTTCCTTGGAAACTGAAAGTGCAATGGGAAAACCTGCTTAGGAAGGTTCTGGGATCCAGGGATCCCCTGCTGCATGGTGTTGGTAAATTGACTCCATCTGAGAATCACCCTTATTGCAAAATTTTTATGACGTCTTAGGGGAGGATATTCACATCTTCTAGATGACTATTATGTTGTAGGTGCTGTTTATTTTTTAAAGGAATTGCATTCTCTATTGAACCTAATATAGAGGCAAGTGTTTAGTCTGACTCATATAATTGCTACTTTATAGACTAAATGGTCAAATATTAGAAATTGCATGTTTCCCATATTATATAGTCCTAAAAGATTGAGGCTATTGTATAAAGAATTCTAGTAATTGACTTTAGGGTCAACATAGATGTTCAACCTTCTGTGTATTCCCTTAAATGCAAGGAAGAAAAGCAATTATGGTATGCTGTATTTGGAATTTCAAGAAAAAAAAAAGAATACCATTTTTGTCAAATACAAATATTTTTGAGATCAAATAAAAAGCAATATGATGGAATGGATAAGTGAAATATGGTATATTCACACAATGGAATATCAGTCAACCATAAAAGGGAATGAAGTTTTAATAAATGGATGTGACATACACATTCTCATCCATGTGACATTATTCTAAATGAAAAAAAAAAAAAAAACAGACACAAAAGACTACTTATTATATCATTCCATTTATATGAAATGTCCAGAATAGGCAAAGAGGAATAGGCAAAGAGGGTTATCAGAGGCTGAGGGAAGGAAGGATGGGGAGACTCTTTAATGGGAAACTAAGTATACTTTTGGAATGACGAAAATGTTCTAGAACTAAATAGTGATGGTTTCACAAAAATCTGAATTTAATGACATAGAACTGCATATTTAAAAATGGTTAATTTTTATTATCTATTTTATTAAAATAAAAATAATCACTGTTACAAATGATAAAACATGTATATGGCTATTCCTAGATGGAACTGTACTTATACACTGGGAGAATGCTGTTATTTCCAAGGTTTGTCATCACACCCATCATAGTCTTTGTGTCTTACAGGACTGGATGGAAGGATAGTTTGACCTCTAGAGTTTCAATGCCGGCATTTAAGCAAGCTGTTTTAAAAGAATGGCTGTTGTCTTAACATAAAATAAAACAACTCCCCCCCAATCTCTGAAAAGCTGCTCCTCAAGAAAGAACAGCTGTAAACATGCTCAGCGTGATTTCTGAAAGTCTTGCTGCAGAGCTAAAGTGATGTGACAGCGGTGTTCTCATCGGTATCTTTGTAATTATAGGCCAAGTTTAGTAATGATTAACGAACAAATCATACAGTAGTGGGTTCATTTGCTTTTGATATGCCATTTGTTAGCTGAAGGGAAACACTTATTCTCTTTTAATGATCTAAAGCAGGCGATATTTACATTGGCACAATGAGTTTCGCACAAGTGAAGCGTTTGTAATAAAGTTACCCAGAACAGACACTACTAATTAGATGAGATGTTTGAATGCACTAATACCCGCTTCTCCAGCATTGCTTGGGAGCGAAGCATTTCACTTGTGTTCAGTTTCACTGTGTGCCACATACTGAGGTTTATTCCTCTACACATTTGAATTTCAAAATGCAATATTTTACCATATTTTCTAAAATGTTCTATATAATTCTTTGCCTCAATAAAAAAGTCTAACAGAGCTTTTTTTAAAATGCATATCATTTGATATATAATCTTAATCTTAGAATGCAGTGATGTGCCTAGTGATGTTCTCATGGAATTATATAGGTTATTTGTCGCTGAAGTAAGTGACCCCCCAAATAGCAGAACTTGAGGTTCTGGGGATGCTTCTCTCTGTAGCTAGAGCATGTCCACCTCATGCAGTTGCATCCTCATATTTATTTACCACGCTCTGACGACAAGCATGGTTATCTAGGAAAACCAGGAAGGAAATTAGACAGCTTAGGTTAAGTCCATGTTATTTTCCACATAATTCCAAGTCAACAGGCTTGGGACAAACGTTTAACTAAGAAACCACAGTAAGTGCATTTTTCTTGCTCTGAATTTGTGACTAATTCTTAAAATCAACATGCATTTCAAAAATTGTTTGATAATACAAAATAAGCTCTCCACGTATGAAGGCTACTGAATTAGAATCCAACTAATGGCTTATTCTACCGGCTGGAGTTACACAGAGGAGGTACACAGAGGAGGTGTACTGGTGGTACACAGAGGAGGTCAACGAATCATGACTGCAGTTTTAACTCAGATCTCACTTCATAGCTCAAAAACTATACAATGTGCATGCACTGCTCAAAACCCTGAGGGATACATTCTCAGCAGTGTTCATTACTGTAGATGCTGATCACAAGCACTTCATATCCTGTAGTAAAAATGACAAGTAATTACCATTTAGAATGATCAGATTCTTAATTAATTTTAAGATTAGAAGGCCTCCAATCCACCCCTGCACATCTTTCCAAATTAACTGTTGCTAAAGTGGCCACCACAGATGTGTGACAATCTATGTGTGCTTCAAATGCTTTAGATGCTCTTAGAAGTCACCAGAACATGGTCTGAAAAATATTGCGTAAGATTAATTCCTGGAACCAAAGTGTAAAGTCTCGAACTTGCAATCTCCATCACTACTTATAGAATAGGCATTGGGTCAATATTGATAAGGACTAACTGGTTCACAGATTACTGGGTGACTTAGTTGGAGTTTCCCCAAAGCAGACCCTAAGACAAGGATTGGAAGCAGGTAGCTGATTTGGTAGGTGTTCCCAGGAAGCAAAGATATATGGGGGGATGGGAAGCAGGGAGGGAGAAGCCAATGAGGCATGCTTTGTTAAGTCAGGCACCAATGTAACAAATGGGGCTTAACGCTGGCTGCTGGGAACCTTTGGGAAACAAGGCGGAAAGCAGACCTCACAGTTACATGAAGGGAGGGAGCAGGGCCTGTCCCCTCAGCTCCTGTCCATCAGTGATGTTGCAAATGGTTTCTGGGAGTGCCATTTCCTTCCACACCCCAAGCATGCTCCTGTGACCAGAGAGGCACACAAGCAAAGAATTGTCCTGCTCTCAGTCGGAAATTGGGCGGGCATATCCAAGGTGTGAGTTCGACAGTGTTGGCTGCACTAGAGCTTCCACGAGGAGATGGGTAGCCTCTCTCGGGTAAGTGGAACACAGTGGAAGGAACAGGAAGGACATGTGGGCTCAGATCTCTGGCCTGGGGAAACCCAAAGGGCTGTGAATGCCTAGAAACGCCAGAACTGAGGGAGACTTAGCCCCAGTCCCACTGAATTGGGATTGTGCGAGGGAGGTTACAGAGACTCTCGACTCTGTCTCAGGGACAGCTGGTCCGGGCAGTTCAGGCAGTTCTAGACTTGGGAACTGGGAAAGGGAAAGGAAGGAGCTGGCCAAGAAAGAGCTGTAATAAAAGGGGAACAGCACAAAGAAAAGAGATGGTACGGCAGAACAAAAGAAAAAAAAAATCCATTAGTAACCCAGAAATTTCCTTTCTAAAATTCTATCCTGAGGAAATACTAGTAAATACAGATAAAAATTTATGCACAAAGATGTTCTCTGCAGACTTATTTATAATAGAAAAGACAGTATGATGGGCTCAACGATAGGGAGCTGGTTCAGTGGATCTTGGTTTAATATATCATTTTCCAGCTTTCAAAAGGATGCTTATAAAGAATTCTCGATGACATGGGAAAATGGTTATGAAACACCAAGTGAAAAAAGCAGAGGAAAATTATACGTACAATATAATCTCAACTAATGACAGGGCTTAGCAGGAAAGGCTGGAGGGAACTAGGCCGGCATGTTTATAACTGGTTGTCTCTGAGGAAAAGGTTTGCTCAAATATATTGTTCTGCTTCTATAGCTCCACAAGTTTTCTTCTAAGAAATAAAGTAAACGGCGTGGAGGGAGAAAGCCTTCCAGATAACATCAAATAAGGCAGCAAACTGTGAAGAATGACTTCTTAGCAGAGAATTTCAGGGGTCCGAAGACTCTGCCCTCAGCCCCCCTGGAGCTGGGCCCCCTGAGTGTTGGGCTCTTAGTCTGGGTCATATCAGGGCAGCCCGGGCACAAGGAGGATGTGCTGAGAAGGGTAAACATCGACTCTGTTTTGACTGGCTTTTATTATGCAGAAGAAATACAACCTAAAAAAATGCTGACCAGCATGTTGCAAAGACATTTAAATGCTAATTTGTATTGTCTGTAATAAAAGCAGAATCTATGGACTTCCTCGGCGGGCCATCTGTTTCTGCGTGTCCATCTCGGTTGCTGAGAGAATGTTCAGCAAATAAATGAACGCCCCCAATTTTTTAACCCCTAGAAATATGAGTGTAGAATTAAGGCTATAGAGGTGGGAGTGGGAGCAAAGGGAAAGGGGCCTAGTGGTCCCCTGGGGTAAAGGACTGTGGGGGGCTGTGGTGGTGGGAAGGTGTGGCGACATAGATCTGAGAAGGCGTAACCCTAGCCCCCTAAATCATACAGTGCTGTCAACCAATGCTGCCTCAATAAATCAATAGATATATAAATAAATTTAGGGTCACTTCATGGCAGGGGGTGGAGAGGGGTGAATAGAAGCAATTTGCTTGTAGGAAAATCTAAACACAAATAGATCAGCAAAAATTGTGGTGTCTCTCATTCTCCTGTTCACACTTCTCTCCACATTCGTGAATCTAGTCACGTTGGGGTTTCAACTTTTATCTTCAGAGGCAGAATAAGCTACTTTGCACCAGATCAACAAGGGAGGTGCTGGGTGGGACAGTGACTCCCAAGTGGAGGTGGCTGTGCTCTCCAGCCAACACTTGGCAATGTCTGGGGGTAGTTTTGGTTGTTACCACTCTGAAAGGGGGGGGGGGGCTCCTGGCATCTGCTACATAGAGGGCAGGGGTGCTGTTCCACACCCTCCAGTGCCCTCGACAGCCCTCCCCGATAAAGCGTTCCCAGCCCAAGCGTCAGCAGCGTCCAACAGCAATAGGAAGCAGCGTTCAGAGTGGTACTGAGACTTGAAAGGTAAGGAGGCTATGAGATGGCGTAGCAGGGTGGACGGGGCAACCTGACCTTATCGCCAAGATGAGGAGCCCTGGGTCGGGGCCGGCATGGGCTCATCTGTTTTCTTGCTGGGGACTAGATCTCAAACTTTGGTTCTCTCACATTTTGTTGTGTCCTGAGTTTTCAGATCCAAACATGGATGTGTGCGTGTGAGAACTAGGACTAAAAGCTAACAGTCACTATTAAATATTAAGTCACTATTAAAAAAGCTTGTAAGACATATTGTTATGGCCCGGGTGGAATAACTTGTTGTCTTGTTAGTTCTATTTGTGATCTTCTCGGAATCTTGACTATGCAGTTTGTCCTGTCTGCCGCGCCTAGCCCGCAGCAGCTAGGAGGCAAATTGGGGGACAGAGGACATGAAGAGTTTGGTTAAACGATGGTGACTGACATAGATGAGACCTTGTCACTGATGTAGAAATACTTCAAGCCACGGCAGTTGTCGCTAATACCCGGTTCGCTAATACCCAGTTTGTTGAGACGGGAATAAGAAAAGCAAGGGGGCCTCCACTTCCCGCAACTAGATGTTCCCACAACTTGTGCTTTTTCAGCTGGAACCACAAGAAAGATTTGAGTTTTGGGTGCTTTCCTGATGTGAGAGTCCGACGGGACTCACAGCTGGTTTTCAAGCTATTCGGGAAAAGTACTTTCTCTTTTCTTTTTCTTTTTCATATTTTATTTTATATCATTCTTACATGCACTTTCTCTTTTCGCCAATGAATGGGTTTGCTACTACGGGGTCTAAGTCCAAAAGGTGGAGATTTTGAAATCTGCACTGCGAGTGCGTGTGATTTCACTCTGCTGTTATTTATCCATCCTCATGGTTCCCCTGGAGTGGGAGGCAGGTGCCAGAAGCCCGCGCGCAGGCGTGCGTTTACTCACGGACGCTTACCGGGTAAGGCTGAATGACAGTGAGGAGGATCGATTCTTTGCAGCTTCTGTAAGAAAGAAAGAAAGGGAAAAACTCATTTTTATGAAATGCAGAGTCTGAACCCGAACAGCGTTCTCTTGCAATGAGATGGGTGCTGTGCTGCTCAGTGTTCCTGGGGCTCCCGGCGCGGAGGAAATCAAGAACTCAGAAGCGGGCTTTCAGACCACAGAGAAAAACCAAAATCAAACAGCCCACTTGAGAGCTTCCTACGTGGCTTACATCGGGAGGTAATAGCTGGGATCCCAAAGAGCAGGCCCGGAAATAAAACATGCCGAAGGAGGAACAGTTTCAGAGACATCCACTCGAGCAGCCTCACACACATCGCCTCTCAGCACTGAGTCTCCCCTGCTCCTTTTACTTCAGCTGTTCATCGCTTTCCCTGCAATTTTCTCGAAGGGGGATAGCTTTTTAAAAATTCTATCCATTCACTGAACATCACTGTCTTCTCAGGGTCAGCCTCATGCAAGAAAAACATCCCTGTAGGTTTCTTATGTAAAGCCAGCATCCCAGCTGACACCACTCCCCAGAGCACGGAGCTGCTGCGTCCGCCACCCAACAGCACCCGGGCCCTTGACATCAATTTCAGACAGGCACGTGCTGGGAAAAGTTGCTCATGACGGGAACACTGTAGCTGCAAGCAGGCCCATGTAACCTCATGGTTTATCTAATTGTCCCCCAGTAACCCAAACTTTTCAAATAACGCAAACCCTTGGGGAAAATCACATTATGGGTTATAACAGTTTTTCCTCCTTCCTGCCTTTGTTCCTTGATTATCACGAGTAGGAGAAAGGTCGGCTGCCCCGTTGCGGAGAAGGAGCTGACTTTTATACTTTAGGTCCTAATTAATTACCTGTGTTGGTGATTTATTGCTCAAAGGAATAAAGCGAAGGGGTGTTTCAGCGCTGCTGTTTGCTTGAAGAAGCCACTGCAAATCGCATTGTTAGCACTAATGGGTCTGTGGGTTGACTGACTCACATCACAGGGGGGCCTTCATTCCACTGACTTGCCACAGCAGCGGCGTGTGTGAGCCTGGCGTAGGGAGCGGGATGGGGAGGAGAGATCAGTGGGGCAGGGAAAGGAAGCCCAGAACCCCAGGGAGTCCAGGAAGAATCAGAATGTTTGGGATGGTGGTGCTGGGGCGGCCGGCACACTAGATGGTGGCCCGTCTGCTCCCGTGAGTTCCCAATCACCAAGGGCTGGCAGAGAGCGTGGCCCTGGAGCAGACACCAGTATTGTCCTTTGGTGATGTAATAAAGCGACAGTGTGGGCAGATGAGCATTCAGCAGACGAGATGGACACTGAAGCCTTGGTGGCGGGCGTGCAGACAGTGTAGCAATTCAGGGGAGCAGTCCGGCACTGCTTGGGAAATGTCAGTGTCACCGACACTATGACCGGCTATGACACCCTGGTTTCTATCACGAATGACCACTGGCCTTGAAAGGCCGTGAACAAGGTTGTTCCTGCAGCAGAGCTGTGGAGGTGAAGTGCTGGAAGCGAGCGGGGCAACTCTTGTGACATGGAAGCATGAGCACGCACAGCGTGGGACGGGGCAGGAAGAGAGAAGTTTAGATGTGTGTACAGCTACTTGGGCCAAACGTAAAAATGTGGTGAAGGGAAAAGGAAATGATATCTACTGCAGCACCATTCACAAGAGCCCTTTCATGCATAAAGATCCCATGATTACATTGGGCCTCTCTGGATAATCCAGGCTAACCCTTCCACCCTTAACTGAATCAGATATACAATGTCACAGATTCTGGGGATCAGGATATGGACGTCTTTGGGGCCGTCACTACTCTGCCTAGTGCAGATGCTAGCCTTCTTAGTTATCTAGTGCTGGAAAACCACGTACGTTATCTCAGCATTTCTGCGAGTCAGAAATACGAGCATGGATTAGTAACTTGCTTGTCTTGTCCAGTTCCTTCATAAGGCTCAGTGATGGCCATGACTGGGGTCTCCTCTGAAAGCTCAGTTGGGAAGGATCCACTTATAAGCACACTTCTGTGGTTGTGGGCAGATTAAGTTCCCACTTGGGCTGTTACGAGCCCCTCCATTCCTTGCAGGCCTGCGGCAAGATGGTCACCCTCAGTTCCCCACCACATGGGCCTTCCCAACCTAGCAATTTGCTTCATCAAAAACAGTGAGAGAGTCTGCTAGCAAAGTGGAAGCTACACATGCAACAACCACAGGAGTGACATCCATCACCTGCCATATTCTATTGGTAAGAAGCTAGTTATAGGTACCACCTGGGTTAGAGGAGCAGGAATGCCATAGCTGTGAGGACCCGGAGGCAGGGACCATCGGGCCTTTGGGGCCCAGTCTCAGACTGGGGGCCATCTTAGCCTCTGTCTGCCACACTAGCAGAGAGATCTGTAGCCAAGGAAGCGCTAAGCTTCTCAAAAGAAGTTCCATCCATGACTCTACCTTTCACAGAAATTGTTTTCTGTCATGATTATCAGGAAAATGATTGCTCAATACACCTTGTTAATTTTAAAATGGGAACCATTTTTCAAAATATGTCTATTATATTTATAGCATTGAAAGTCTTTGTGTCTATATTAATTCTCTGCAAATTGCCTGAAACATAACCTAGATTGATTCTAATTTTACCACTTAATGAATAAATGAAGTTATTTGAAACGAAATAAAATATTCCAATATGTTATTTATCATTAGGACTGGGGATGTGCTTTCCTTCAGTTTCCTCTCATCCATAATTGTCGCATTACAACAGCTCGGCAAGAATGAACTCTGCGATGCTTTGGATTCCTTAGAATTCCCAACCCTAAGATCCTAGGAAGAAAAACAAATATCTACGTCATTTAAAAAGTCATTTGAAAATCACTTCACTGGAAAGAGAAGACTGGAAAATGGAAGATGCCACATACAACTAATCAGATAAGTTCTTTTTACGAAGGCCTGCTAGAGACTTTTTAAAAATCCAGTTGAAAGCACAGAAGTATCATTTCATAATAAATTCCAAGTGAATTTTCTACTTTTGACAAGTAATTTCAACTTGCAGTGCCAATATTTTTTAAATGGATAAATTTGTTAAAAACATTTAATCTTTGAATCAGCGCTGACCTGCCAAAGAAAATATACAACCTGCCTAAACCGCTCCTATCAAATTTGTCTTAAATTTCTTTCTTCATTTCTTAACAAAAATCTTTTCTTTACTCTTTTAAAATTATTTTACTTTTTTTTATACTTATGATTACAATTTTATGTAGTGAAAGGATACAAGTCTAAATCAGCCAAGGAAGAAGATGCATAGGCCAGAGTCCAGGCCAGGTCTAGAAAAGTCTCTTCTTATCCTTTCATGATGGAGAGGCCCTTGACTCAGGTTTGGGGTGATGGGTCATGCCTTGGGATCACACCTCATTTTCAAATTTCATTGGATGTGATTCTGTTGCAGTTAGCAAAGCAATGGGAAGAAGCAGCTCAGATTCTAACCAGGCGTGTGCTATTAAGATCCCTTTCAACAATGAGGCCAAAGGTGGAGTTCTCTCTTTCTCTCTCTTTCAAGTGGCATGCCTTGGCACCTTTCTTGAACTGACTTTCTTTCTTTTATTTATTTATTTATTTATTTATTTATTTATACAAGCACTGGGTACAGTCAGAAGCGTAGGAGGGTGAGAGAATTCACCAGAGCCGGAGCGGGGAGCAGAGCAGGCAGAAGGACCGAAGTACACTGCTGAGGGGAGCAGCGGGCGGCAGGAGAGGTCTGCGCGCCATGTGGGGCCCTCACCCGGTGGCCGGGGAGCAGCCGGGGATCGAACTGGCACTGCAGAGGCTGCAGGCAGCTTCGCAACCCAGCGCTCAACCGCTGCGCCACCGGGGAGGCCCTCTTTAACTGACTTTCTCATTTTTTTTTAAGATTTATTTATTTATGCTTACAAGAGCTGGGGCACAGGCCAGAGGTGGGGGGAAGTGAGAGGATTCACCAGAGACAGAGTGGGGAACAGAACAGGCAGATCTACTGAAATACACTGCTGAGGGGAGCAGCAGGCAAGACAGGAGAGGTCTGCTGCACCATGTGGGTTGCTCCCTGGCTGGCCGGGGATGGAACTCGTGCTGCAGAGGCTGCGGATTGCTTCATAGTGTGGTGCTTAACCCCTTGAGCCACCAGGGAGCCCCTGACTTTCTCATTTTATACTGACATGATTTTAGTGGTGCAAACATAATCATATTGCCACGTGCTGTCTCTTGGAGACCAACTGAAGAGATCCTTCAATCAGCTCAGGGAGTTGGAATTTAACAGCATTGTGAAGAACACTGAGATTCCTTCAGAGACTAGGAAGACAAAACAAAACCCAAAGGAAAGAGCTAAAATAGATAGGAAGTTATTTATGTCAAAAGTGTAAAGTATTACAGTTAACTGTAAGATTTTAAATTTCAAAAGTGGCAGCAAGTAATCTATGAAGGCTAAAATTTAGGCTCTTAAAAAGCAAAATAAAGAGGCAATTTAGGGCTCTATATGAAAGGCTCTTGTAAATTCTAAAACAACATTCTAACATAACTCAAAAGAGGGACGTGCATCATTTTTGCTTGGAAAGACAGGTGGCACGACACAGAGACGTTTGAACTGTCTTCTAAGGTAAATACATGCACACGGAAGGGGCTTTCTTCCTGCACTTCAGAGTTCTTCAAAGAGATTAGAAAAATACTCTCTTCTGGGAACCTGGTGCATCTCAGCACTTGCATTCTCTGCAGCTGGGAGCTTCTGTTCATGGAAATAAATGCTGACGGACAGCGTTTCTATAGCCATTCTTTACTCGGAAGAGCCTTTCCTCCACCTTAGGGTATTGTGAAGCCACTGGGAGCCTCCTATTTTCTCTTCCTAGCTGAACCTGGAGATGTGAAAAGAGCACTAAGATTTTTTGGGTGTGATCACCAGCCATAGTGGAGCGTCAGCCTAGTCAACTGCTGGCAAAGTGGGAGGAAATAATGCTGCCCTTATTTTGAGAAAAGTTGCCACAGGACGACTTGGAAGGGGGTTTAGCACTC